TTTAAAAGTAAACAAACAGTGAATGACCCAAATGCACGTTGATGTAGGCTCAGGGCGTGTGCACGCACACTGTCCGCTCTGTCTCAGCTGCCGCTGCCACCTTTTTAAACCTGAAAACCAATAAGAAGTAATTGCAGAGGGTTTAATAAGCGCTGGATGTCGGCCAAACAGTCGACTACTCATTTTAGTCTAGTACTTTATTACATCATGTTTTGATTCTGATAAAAGAGTTTTGATTAACAAGTTGTGATCTGCTATACATGCTTATTTTAGGATCACTGGCCTCGGCTTCAGAACAATATGAGCATGATGATGAGTGTGTGTTTGTTTGTGTGTGTGTGTCAGTCCCTTCTCAACATGCTCCGTCGATGTGTGTGTTTATGCTCAGCTCGGGTGTGTCCAGCAGTAGAGAGCAGAAGGTCGTCCTTAGTGATTTTTTATTTGCAAAATAACAACAGATTACATCAAGAGATGCACTGATTGCACAAAAGAAAAATCACACATTCCCACTGTATGACAAGCTTAGCTAAGTTAACCTACCTGGCTCCAGGCTGTAGCTTTAACCTCAGACACAACAGTGGTATAGATATTAATAATAATTGCATTTATTCCAAACTGCCTCTTCAAACGATCATTTTAATGGTTCTGAAGATGAAAGTATCTCACCATGCACACCAACGGTTTGGTCGTAACAGATTCATCATTTAGATCTTTACTGATCATCATCCAGTACAGTTTGTCAGAGCTCCGTGGTGGTGCTGTCTCACACTGGAGTTGTGTGGCCCCTGTGGTTTTCAGTGTAAATAAAAACAGTCTCAGATTTGTGTGACGAGGAAAATGAACTGTACCACCTCTCTCTGTTCATCATGAAGGGATGCAGAGCAAATGACACACATTTGTTTGTATGGTTTGGCCTTTTAGTCCAATGAGGTATATTCTTCAGTGTGGTTCAGTGTGACTTTGATCTCATCATAAAGCTAAATGCATATTATGATGCGTCCATCTACTTTATTATTTATTTCATATTTTTTCAGGTTCTGAAACAAAAACGGAAATGCAACTATATATAATATAATATAATATACCATCAATCCTTACACTGACTGCATCAGCAAATATGTTTTGTAGGAAACATACAGACCCATTCAAATCAAAATGTTTCTCCATAGCTAATTATAAGCTAAGTTAGCTGAAGTAGCTAAGTCACAGCTGGGCACTGTCACTGTGTCGTTGCCCGTGTCGTTGCTTCATTGTAAAACTCTGTCTCTCTGTCTGACCCATCAAATCATCCATGAAGTTTTTACTGTTGTTCTGAAACCTGTAGCTACTGCCATATAGTTAATTGACTTCTGTTGGAAGTTATTATTGTTATTATCAACACATTATTAGCTGTGTGTTATGTTTTTGTATTTAAAATTTCTAAGTTTTGTGTATACAATTTATTTGTTATTCCTGAAGGCTCATGTTATCTGTTATATTTCTGATGTTGTAGGGATACAACACATAAAATACATCAACATTTTGATACTTGTACATGTACAATTCACTAAACCTTTTTTTGTCTTCAGAGTCTGTGACTGGTTCCAACATGTCTGCCTCAATTGCTCAAGTATGACCACTTTCATTGTGTAGTAAATATAGGCCAAAAAAACCAAGGTTTGTGTTTGTAGGGCGAGCAGCTGAGGGGTGTGTGAAGATAAAGGCTCAGTCACATATTCAAATAGATTGGCAGATAGAAAATGAGTCAAAGGTGCAGAGCTACATCCAAGAATTTTCCTGGTAAAACATCTAAATATGAGGAACAGAGATGAGTTTTTAAGGTTTATTCAAAGTCAGAAGGGGAACTTTAACAGTTTATATGGTGGAATGTAAAAATGTGAGAGTTGTTTCATGGTGTTTATTGCTGGATATCATTCATTTAAAAATAAAAAGCATATTTGTGTTTCTCCTTGTAAACATTTGGTGAAAGGCCTGTCAGTCATGTTTATCACATCAGTAGCTGAAGGGATTTAGTTGAGTGCAGACAAACACTAAGGAGTAGGGAAAGGGAGGGAGGGGAGGGAGGTGAGATACTGAGATACATGATACCTGCATCTGTGTTGTGTGTGCACAGACTAATTCTCCTCCAGCTCGCTCGGTCTTAACTTCTGCAGATAGTGAGGAGGCAGCAGGGACGGTCTTAATCCTGGATTAATTAACAGAGGGAGAGAGAAGACTTCGGTGGAATAATTACATTTGTCTCATAGACGCAATAGACTGACTGAACATTTTGCAGATGTGCTCATTATAAAAATGCAGCGTATAAGTGAACATATTTCAATATATGATTCACTTTCATATCAAAACATCTAGCATTCATTTATCACCCATGTTTGGTTGCTTTTGCATAAGAGGTGGTCTGCTGGTATGATCTTGGAGTAAAAATAAATAAATCAAACATAACATGGAATTCTGTATAGCATTCCATCTGCAGCTCTGTTGTGCTTATTTATAACTGTACTTTTTATACAACATTTTGATTGTGGCCTGACAGTAATAGTGTCAGCCTTCTTCCCTATATGTGAACTTAAAGATAGGGCTGGTAATCCTGGAATCCTATCAGCCCTTTTGTCTCAGCTCCGCCCATATGAACGTGCACTGTCTGACAACTGCTGGAAGCCGACTTTTTCAGACTGACTCGCTAACTTCTGACTATTGTCTCTGCTTGAGCATTGTATGTGTGTCAGCCTCTCTGGCTTGTGAACACTCGCTTAGTAATGACAGGTATGTGACTGAATTAGTGCAAATGAAATGATCGTTGTCATTAACCTGCAGTTAAGATGAGACAACTTCCAGGGAATAAAACAATGATTCTATCAGCTGGGCTGTCTGTGCCACTCTTAGCCATGTTGGCTATGATGCAGTTTTGTTATTTGCCAACTGAGAAGAGGGTGAAGAATAAGTGTTCTAACCATCTTCATGTTGTATTTTTAGAATTTTGGACACAGGGATGAGACTTGTACATCACAGAAAATATGCAAATAAAGGAGGTGTCCATTTGAAGTTTCGAAGATTTCAAGACAGTTTGTGGTGATAAGAGCAGACGCTGATGTCCATGTGCAGAAAACAAAATCACAGGAATCCTGTGGAGGATTTGTTGTTGTTGTAAAAACGTCTGTGCAGAGACCCCCCCCCGTTGCGTTGTTCATGTCTGAAAGGCAAATTGCGGAGAAAGAGCGGACCCAATTTCCCGGTGATCCTTCGCAGGATATTGTATACAGTGGAAACCAAAACTAGTCAACCAGCCAAAACTAATCATGTTCTTTAAAGTCCTCAGTGGAAAAGAGCTCAGACATTGCAATTGTGTGCTTGTGCTTGTGTGTGTGTGTACATCCTGTCAGCCTGGTTATGTGCGTGCAGTGAGACGTAGAACATGACAGTCCATCTGCAGCTGGAAACACTCGCTCCAGTGTGGTGATGCTGGTCGTTCCCTGTGGAGCAGCTAGAGGAAGAACAGAGGAGGTTTCAAGCTCAGCAGCTCAGTGTATTACTGCGAATCCATCGCTCCTCATGTTCTTCATCCAAGTCTTCCCCCTCACCCTCCTCCTTTCTATGCCTTCTCTCCATTTTGTTACGACTTTCCATTTGAGGCTTCTTTTCTCTTCTCTCTTTCTCTTTCCTTCTCCAACCTCTACCTTCTGCCTCATCTTTTTTTATGCCTCCTCTGTCTCCTCCCTCCCTGCTTCCTTTCCTGCCTTGTTTTCTTTTGCCACCTTTCTTGATAAAGTGAGTGATGAAACAGTAAATGTAGCTGTTTCAATTTCAACACACTGCCCTGCTTCTCCATTTATTATTCCATCTTTTTTACCCATAGTTTTTACCCTATACTCTTACCTTCAATCCATCATCACTCCCTCTTTTTCTTTCAAGCTCCTTATTCCCTCTATCATCTTCTCCTTTTTTCCTCTCTATCCCTCCCATGCCTCTCATTCCACTCCACATATGCTTTATGTGGTTTACATTTTTGCACCTCCTCAGATCCTCCTCCACTCATCACACTGTCCTCTGCCGTCTTCTTCTCCGTCCTTTTCTCCTACATTCCTCCATCTATGCTCTTCTACTACTCCTTTATTTTTAACCTCCACTAACCCCTCAATTAAATTCATTCATCTTTTTTCACATATCTCTCTACCACTCCTTCATTTTCATCTTCCTTCCTTGCATCGGTCATCTTTCATTTTACAGGATTTGCAGTAAGCGTCTCCACTCCGGTTTAAAGAATCTGAACCTGTACATCATTCACTTGCGCATAATCAGTATAGAAGACTTCTGAATAAAGATTAGCTTGTGGAGGTATGTTTTTCCTCTTTGAAAACAACTAAACTATTCACAGTTATCGTTGTCTGATACTTTTCACTATTATGTGAGGTCACATTTCATGAATGTTTATGTAAACAAAAAAAAGTGGTTATGATATATTTTTACTGAAACTTTGAATCTGAAATCTTCTCTGAGTCATAAAATAGTCAAATCTCAAACTGAAACTAATCAAATCTAACTGACTTGCACACAGTAGCTGTGTCCCAATTCAGGAGCTGCAACCCTCAGTGTCTATGATTGTTGCTTAGATTTCTGACAGATTTGAGATCAGAACTGCTTCAGGACCCTTTTCTCAGAATCATTTTTTTATTGCCAAGCAGGTTTACACACACAAGGAATTTGCTGTAGAGTATTTGTGCAAGTATAAATATAAAAAAAAAAAATATTAAAAATACTTTAAGCACCAGGGGAGGGATTGTGCAACATCTACAGAAGGTAAAGTGTCAAAGTGTCCCCCCTGTGAATCTATGTTTTACCATCCTTTTCCAATAACAAATCAATCAAATGAGAACATCTTAAAACCAACGTGTCACTCCCTGTGTACTTGAGCTTTGCTGCATGCACCAACAAATGAGTAAATGCACAGGGTTGGTTACTGCTCAGCTGCTGGGATCTTGACTCCTTGCTTGTTGTGTGTGCAGGATCCTGGCCACCGTGGGGGCTGATTTTGATCTGAGAACACTGAGAGCTGTGAGAGTTCTGCGGCCGCTCAAACTGGTCTCTGGCATTCCAAGTAAGTTAACCTCACGACTAAGCACATTTTTTTATCACAGTTATTGTAATGACAACTAATAATAACGTATCACTGTCAGTATCAGGGTAAGGTTGTGGTTAGCTTGGCTTAGCATGAAGACAGGGTTCAAAGAGAAACAGGCTAATCATCACATTTTATCCCTGTAATCTATAGACTGACTAGAAAAAGTAAAAATGAATAATTTTTGATGTTAGGAGGTGAAACTATTTCATGGTAAGGAAAAGCCAGGTGCAGGTCTTCATCACCCCGATGAGGTTTACAAATGTGATACCAGAATGTCCACTCAGACACTAAAACCACACACAAAAGATGACTAGTAATAAAAGATGTCAAAGAGATACAGAAAATATCCTTCTCATTCTCTCCACATGTTTCTGGCCTCACATTGTCATTTACCAGTGAAGGTGAAACAAACAAATTGTGAAAAAAGTCAGTCAAATTGTCTCCATGTGTTTTAAAGAATGCTGTTCTCCTCTTGCCTCAGGTCTTCAGGTGGTATTGAAGTCCATTATGAAAGCCATGGTACCTCTGCTGCAGATTGGCCTGCTGCTCTTCTTTGCCATCCTCATGTTCGCCATCATCGGCCTCGACTTCTACATGGGCAAGTTCCATCGCACCTGCTTCAGGGTGGACACAGGTAAGCAGGAGGAGCAGTCAAGCAATTTCTTAATTTTATTCAAGGCAGGAGTTGGTAGAACTTTAATCATTGATGTGTAATAACCAAGGACATTGGGCTAATGGAGGCATTTTAATGAATTATATAGTGACATTGAACTTGATCCATTTGTTCATTGTGCTCCCACTGCCAAAAAACGATTCCGCTTCTCCCCCAATGTCAGATAACGCTTTGAGGTTTCTGCAAAGTGTAAACAATGTAAAACAATTTTAAAAGGCTACAGTAAATCCTGTTGCCTCACAGTGGTGTTCTGGGTTCAAACCCCGTGGTGTTTGCATGCGCTCCCTGTTCTCGTGTGGGTTTCCTCCTGGTACGCCATCTCCTTACCACAATCCTAAGACAAGCTGGTTAATTGCAGACTCTAACTTGTCTGAATGTGAGTGTGAAAACGAATTTTGATTTTCAGAAATTCAGTTAACTAAATACGGACTCATATTTAGAAGGACTATTAACTTACTCACATGTGCTTCCCAGAATGAATTGCATTAATGTTATAATGAAGGTCTTTACTTCACACACTGCACTGAAAAACACATCTGTCATACATTGGGGAAACAATAAAACAAAACAATTTATGTAGTGTTGATTTCAGTTTACATTCAAGTGAATGTAGAGCAGTAAAACTTCAGGGTTTTGAAGATATCAAATAATATGTTGTTCTGAATTAAAATGAATTTAACAGGAGTATAATTTCTAAAATGGATTAACTCAAAGCCCAAATCTTAGAATTTAAGATCAGTCAACTAACTCCAAATTTATACTTTTACAGTGCACACTGACACCATCAAATAACGCCATGGTGCAGACTATTGTCACCCAGCACACATCATGATGACATCAATGACATTATTACAGCATGAAAAAGTTAGCATTGCCTCATAGAGGAATATGGAGCACATGCGTATGAATCGCTCCTCTGGTGCTTCATAATTAATGTTTAACCCTCAAAGGGGTTTACAATCTGTACAATTGCAGCTAGTTAGAAGCATACAGCACACTTTGTTCTTACACCATTTTGAGGTCTATGAAAAAACACCTTTAAAATTGAGGCAAAAATGTGCAGCAGATGTTGTATGTACAAAGTAGACAGACTAAAATATACTGACACTATGAAGAAATATAATGATGATATGAGGTAAGATGTCAGGCAGCTGCCCGCGTAAGAGTTGGGAGAGACTACATATGCAAGAGGCAAATCTCAAGGATACCGTTCATCTATTCTGATCTGAGTGCACATAGATGTTTCAGAATTTAAGCTCTGAATGATTTATAATGATGCAACAATCTGGAATGTATAATTGAAATATCAGTCAAAACATGTTTATCATGTTAGCATGACACAGTAATTGGAGGTCACTGTGGATAAAAGCAGGATTATATCCAAATGTACTCAACATTGTAGCTGAACCCATGTATTATGCATTCAGTGTCATGTATCTTAAAGGGATGATTCACAGAAAAATGATCTACTCACCACTGTACAGACGGAGGGGTGGGTGAAGTGTTTGAGTCCACAAAATAATTAAGGAGTCTCAGGGGTAAACAGTGTTAGAGCAGAATACAATACAATTGAAGTCAATGGTGACCTCTTCTTCAGACGTAATAAAACAACATAGACAAAGATGTGCCTCCATACTGCTCATGTGGCTGCATCAAATTTTCCACAAGCCCAGACATTCATATTTGACTCAAAACAAGTTAATTTACACCAAGTTTTAAGCCTAAAATTCCACCGGAATCTGTATGAATCTCTATGTCTTTGGCTGTAGGTGAGCGGACAGCTGACTTCCCCTGCGGCCTGGAGGCTCCGGCGAGGACCTGTGGAAACGAAACCTCCTGCATGGAGTACTGGATCGGACCCAACTTTGGCATCACCAACTTTGACAACATCCTCTTTGCTATTCTTACCGTTTTCCAGTGCATCACCATGGAGGGATGGGTGGACATCCTCTACAACGTGAGTCCACAGACAGAAAACATATGTGGGCCTTAATGTTGTCTCTAATGCACCATGTCGGTGGAAGTTACCAAACCTGTTGGGTTGAAGATAGTAACTTCTGAACTTTTCAAAATAGATTGTGCCAGGCCTGGTTACACACTACTCACTGCTGAATTCTCTGACTTGCTCAGTTTTTCGTATCATAGGTTGGTCTTGTGCTAACTGATGGCTAGTTTCCCTGGTTGTAGAAACAGTCGGCCAATCAGAGCTTTGTGGGCAGGAATGGGCACACCAGTTTCATATGCATAGCCAACTAGCATCATCCATTATAAAAAGTGATAGACACACTTACATAAAAGTGAATGATTCAGCTGTTTAGGCTTTTGTATGTCGACTTTCAAAAATAAAATGTCTTAAATTTTGCCTGGCGGCAGCGGAGTGCGGTGCCTCCATGACGGTTCCCAGCTACACCGGTTGTACCAGCCTGAACAACACAGGCTGCTGCTATCTACAGTCACAGCCTTGTATCATGTCATCATGTAGCAGAGCAAGTTGTAGCTTAAAAAAGAGGAAATAGTTGGAAATAGAAATAGTTTCTTATAGCACCTAAAATCCATTATTCTTCCCACTCTACTTGAACAAAGCTATTAAATCATATAGTTACTACTAATATTCAAATATCTTTGTATTATTTACAATACCAGGCATCGTAATTTACACGTACTAAAAACATACCCCATCTATCTGCATGTTAAAGTGTCGAAGGCACTAGTCGTGAAATTAAACAATAATCGCGATTCACAGTAGTTGGGTGTAAATATGTGTAAGTGGATGACTGACAGTAAGATGTTTATACTCTGAATTTCTATTGCGCTAACTCCAGTGTATTCCTACTGTGCGCCTCTCTATCACTTATACACTTACACACAGATTCAGAATTCAGTACATCAGAGGGGACATTATGGGGATTAGTCTCCTGCAAGGACACCTCTGCAATATAACCACCTGCAGTTCCTAGCCGGGTCTCAATTCTCCACCTCAACTGAACAGCTAACGGTACACATGATAAAAAAAAAACAGGGGGCATTCAAACTTGTTTCTTCATGCCCAACTTCAGCTCCGTTGCTAGGCAACAGCAATAAGGGCAGGACAAGTCGGTGACAGCAATCATGGACATTCTCTATAGACCAGACCTCCCCATTTTAGTTCGGCCTCATGTGCGGCTGAGGAAGGAGGATACCTTTGTGGGCCTCTGAAGGATGCAGCTCCTGAATTGAGGCACAGCTCATGTAATGTATTAATACAGTGGTTAATAACCACCTAAAATGCAGATAATTTAGTTTCCAGTGTAGTCATGACTTTCTTTGGCATTGCCCATGCTCGTAAATGCCATTGTTATGCTTTTCCTGCTCAGTCTTGTGTCTCCAGGAAACACATTTTGTCTCAATTGTGGTAGATGAGGCATTTATATATATATATAATTTATTTAGTGCCCAGCAAAAGAAATAAAAAACCTGTCTGGGAAAAGTATGTCACCGTGAATTTACAGGCTTGTCTGTCCTGTGCATCGACAGTGAGACACTGAGCGTTTCCTCCTGATTGCTCCTTCCCCTCCCAGCCTTCCTCGGGGGATGATTAGAGGCAAGCACAAGAGCTTGCAGAGGATGACTCACACACAGCTCCCATTAGGACCGCAGCACCGTCGCTTTACTGCTCGCATGAAACAAATCACAGCTCTCCTCCATTTGCCAGAGTCAGAATCATATCATGCCAGGGAAACAATTATGCAATAGGCTAAATTATTAAACAGCTGTAGTGGGAAAATAATATGTGTTTAGCTGTGTGAGCGACTCCTGGTGTGCGGCTGGAGGAGGGGAACAGAAACAGAGTAAGAGAGAGAGGAGCTAGAAAGAGTTCAATGGTTGTTTTGTTGCTGAGAACAAGACAATTGCTCTCCTAGGGCAGGTTAGATACAGAGGATGCTGCTTTGCATCTCTAATGTCAAACACAGTCATTGTTTTTTCAAAAGTCACACAGGAACATGGACTCTTTTTTATTCTAAAAGGACTAAGAGCAGATTCAGGCGCTCTGAGTAATTTTGCCAACATTCATTGTGTCAGATACTACTTGCTTTAGTAATTATGATTATTTATGAGCTCTTCAGAACTTCTTGCCTCACCATAGAGTTCATTGTTAGTGAAAGATTCCGCTTTTCCCACTTTTTAACATTTTTGTTAGTGTAACTCACTGAAGCCACCCTGTTCATCCAGTGGCAGCTCAACAAGCTGTAAGCATTTCCCACAGCTGCTGCTCCTTCACATTAAAAGGCTGACTTTTATTGTGAAGCAATGTCACTGAGGTTAGAGTGGCTGTTTCTACAAAACAAAGCATAGTTGTCTGCAGCATTTGTGTCTGGGGACCACTTTTAAGTATCACAGGAAGGGCTATTACAAGCAGAGGCAGCCAAAATGTGCTGTTAGATAAACTACTGGAGTTGATAGGCTCTTACTGTGGTCCGAGAGAACTAGCACCAGGGTTTCCCACTAGTGCATACAATGTTCATCCTGGTAAACAATTAACAAGTTGCCTATTGGCCTAAGAATGGCAAAAAACCTGTCATAATGAGAATAGAGTTACTTGTTACCCAACACAGAATTCTGTTCTCTTAGCCCTAAAGGTTTATTTAGCACCCCAAATTTTCGGTAGTCTGCCTACTGGCAGGGAGACTTCAGAAAAGCCATTAATGTTGTGCTTTTCTTGTTCAGTGTTTGCCAGGAAACACATTTTGTCTCAATTGCGGTAGATTAAGCATTTGATTATTTTTAAACCAAGTACTCCCTGGACCAATACAGTGGGCTAAAAGACACCAAAACAGAAATGATCATGATTATTTGATCACAACGAGTGACCTCTTTCACATTACACATGGTTATTCTTTCCATTTTTAGCATGTAACACACAGTATTTTATATCTTAATTTGTTCAGATTAAATCTCACACCCTGCAGACAGTTGTCCAGTCCTGCAATTGGTAGAGAAGATGGGTCCTTGTATAGACATATGGACTCAAATAACTTGACATGGATCATGAGTTTGACAGTGGAATTTCAGACAGGTGGGCAACCGGGAGGCACCAACACCAGAGACAAAAGATCTGTATCTGTAAATCATTAGTATACATGTAGAGAAATGATAAATGATTTTTCTTCTAAAAGGTTATGCTGGACAGTTCTGTAGTTGTGTTATTTGTAGTGCTGGGCAGAACCGTCAGATATGGCTGCTCAGGTCTGATTTTAGTTTCTGTACAGATTCACAACTCAGTCACCTCACCTGGATGTTAACCTCTGAGAAAGACTACTTCCAATATTTAACTTCCTCCTGAATCCATAAACTCATTATTGGTTTTAATATTATATATCCTAAAGTGTTTTGTGGACTCAAACACTTTACCCCGCCCTCCCCTCCATCAGCATAGTGGTGAGTAGGCAATAAGTGAATTTTCATTTTTCGGTGAACTATCTCTTTACGATCACCCCTTCATCCATCATTAGTCTGCTCTATTTCCAGTGCTTTGGATCACTGACAGACTGGTAATGTCCTCTGGCCACACAGGCATAGGTTGCTGTTTTGGCTGAATGTGATTTTTGGGATTGAATTGTCAAGGGAGGAGTGAGAGCTGTCTCATTTCCCACCACTGTGGGACTGTGCTATGTCCCCTTTATCAGAGAGGCCATCCATCATGGCTGCACAGGCCCTCATCTGTCTCTGCCAGAACTGTGACTCTCTGATGGGAATAGAGGGCAAAACTCAGTCTGTCAATTTCTCATTAGAAGACCCCCAAGACCTCTCAGTCATAAACACCTGTTTCTGACAGGCGCTGTCACCTGTTTTATGCTTTTACTGTCTCTGTGTGTAGAAAGCATCTAATACATGTACAGCAGAGTAAGTCTGATATTGAATCGTTAAAGATATCAAAATTGTATACAGATGATCAACCAACAATGCAGATTTAGTCTTTAAGGGATGCATTAATGCTACACATACACTCAAAACAGTCAACAAAGGTTTGACAAAGCTCTTGCACTTCTTACATCCTCCTTGTTTCTTTTTGATGGGTGTTGACACAATTTTACACACCCTATTTAATTTACATTCACATTAACGTGATCTGTATCATGTTGTTGAAACAGCAAATGAACCTGCATCCGTTGGGCCATCCCATCTGCTGTGTGGGTTTTTCTGCCCATGTTAAATGAGGTGTGGTCAGTCACATTGTTGGTGCATTGATAGCTTGACCTAGTCTGAAGCCTACACTGCATATAAACATGGACAACATGGCAGCTTTCTTAAAGCAAAGCCAAATCATCTTGATTGCCCCCTGGTGGCTGGCTGCTGTAACGGTTATAAACCCCATCTCCTCCATGTTAGCAGATGGAACATGGACGAGATAAAAAAACGAACATATATATTTTAAGTATAAAATTTATACACACTGTATATACATCAACAACTGTTTCCTCAAAGATGGTTTCTGTCATTTTAGGTAGTTTTTATCACACTGATGTTTTTTTATTTTTCTGTACATTTGGTTTGGATATCCTATTCAATGCTATTGAAATTCATGATTGACAGCTGTGACTGCAATTGGATGAGTGTGTGTATAGGCGGGACCTCAATACCATGGTTCCATCCCCCAATAAATACTGTGCACTCTCGATCTCCAAATATCGTCTATAATGCAGAGTTCAGATGCTGGATATTTTGGCTTCATGGTTTTATCCAAAGTAATGCTTCACTTCATTCACACCAGACAAGTCCTCATTTAGATTTTACCTGAGACTCTCAGATGACTCTGAAAAGCAAAGTGTGTACATTTTCATTTGCCGGAAATAATTCCAAACTCAACTTTAATTAATATTATGCTGCATCTGTCAGCATTAGAAGAAGACTCTGGCTAAGTTCTGAGATGATAAGATTAGTTCTTGTATGAACAGGAATGTGTAACGCCACATTTTTCAGCAAGCGACAACTCTTAGAAATGTATGAAGTTGACAAACCCTCGCTTTATTGATGGGTTTTTATGATTTTTGTAATAACTGAATCTTCTAAGTTGTGATGTAGAGAATGCTTGCACACAATTACAGCGGTAAACATTCTGTAGTCCTTCCATAGTGTAAGACATATCCCCATATACTTAGTGCTGTCTATTATATTGACAGTCCTTAGGTTTTGCTCCATGCAACCCCATGCCTCACCCATAGGAAGGGACAGTGTTGGCTTCACCAGCCTGTGTCTGTGCTTGTCACAGCTTGTTTGGGTCAGTGAGTGGTTACTGGGTCCCCTCTGGCGACACAGTCACCAATCAGCAGTGAACAGCGAGCAGACTTTCAAATGTTGTCAGGTGGAGCTCTGGGGATCAGGCTGTTTACAAGCCAGAGGACAACAACAACAGACAGTGTCGACCATTTCCGCCATAACAACTCCGCCAATGGAGAAAAGAAGGTTCCTTAGAGTACTGTAATACTGATACTGTAGAATGTCAAAGGTCAAATATAAAGATAAAGTGTACTGAGCAGTTTTTTATGTGTATGAGTCATAGGGGATCATGAATCCGGATCTTTCCAGTCACTTTCACCCTGACGTCCTGGCTGTGAGCGTCTCGTGTCGTGTGTAGCACGATGAAGCACTTGTTTAAATACGTGTCTTATAAATTCTAAAGTGAATCAAACACACACAAAGTAAAAAACAATACTGTTAGTATCTTAGTAACTTCAGTGATCAAAGTTCAGTGATCAGTGTCTGTGATTATTGTCTAAGTATAAAGTGACTGCAGGTCAGTGGGAGAGTGGAGGGAGGACACTCAGACAAGAGACCCTGACACTGTAAAAGACGACCGGACCTTTAATGTGCATATGATTGTACAGTGGCGGGCAATGCTAAAAAAAAAAAATGAATGAAGCAGAAAACATTAATCGATTATGTTCTGTCTCTGCATCGATGCAGAGTCGTCCACGTCCACATGGCGATGCTTTAAAAAAACGATTAATTTCCCCACCTCTAATGAGTCAGTAGCTGTTATTTCATGGTCTGTCTCCGGTCTGTCCGGCAGTATGGGTGTGGTAGTTCTGCTGAATTGAAGGTTGTCCTCAGGCTAACACGTTTAGGGGCAGAACAGGGCTTCTAATGGCCTTTCTATTGCCCTCTCTCTCCATTCTGTTAACCAAGGTCTGAGGCAGCAACACCCCGACACCAGCTAATGCACCAACACACCCATCCCTGTGCAGCCACTTCCAGCTCAGAGCTATGACAGATGAGTTCACCTTAATAGAGCAGAGGTTTTGTGAGGAGACCCGGCCGGATGTGATGCTTCAAGGTTGCTTTTTAAAGCTAATAGCACCATGCACCGAGTTTTTTCATGTGTAGGGGTAGAACTCCACAGCATACTGAACATCACACAGTTCAATCTATGGCATTGTGACCACATTCAGTTGATACGACTAACATGTTTGAAAACCCACTGACACTTTGAGTTTAACATTGCACTATGTTCAATTTCAATTTAAGTTATAAGGTAATATCTGACTTTTCCTTCCTTCTGTTTGGTGCTGAGCAGTTGATGTACTGTGGGTTTTCCAGCAGCCATATTTGTGTCAATGTTGCAAGTAATATCGCTCCGTGGATGTGTAAATAGGAAAGAGTCCCATGACAACTTTTCAATAACATAAAAAGACACAAAACTTTAAAATATATTTGACGGTTTAATTTTCTTCACATATGCTTTCTGCTTCTCCTGTCAGTATTGTATTTTTAAGCAGTGCATGCCATTCTGTCTGAAACCATTCAACCCTCTGATTAAACTGCATACCACCTCTTTGTATGTAAGAGGCAATTATGGTGCTGCTAAGCTAAAGAAAAATGGTAATGAGACGATTCCTTTATCTGAGTGTACAATACAAAGATCTATGGATGGTAAAATGAGAAATGAACACACAATAGGAAGGCATGACAGCAGGTTTCAGTAAATGAGAGCATAACCAGACAATTTCAAGCATTCAAATTAACACCCCAAAGTCATAATGTGAGTGTGAGTGAAAACTGTCTGCAAACATTAATGCAGCAGAAAGCCCTCGGGCAGGGTGCAAGTCACAATAGAGAACATGAGCCTTGGACTGACTGCGGCTTCTGTCATTACACAGCTTCAGCAGCAAAGCACACACACAAACAAGTTCAGCTCTCCTCCTCTGCACCGGCACCTATTTCACTGTCTTGTATTTCCAAATGAAGCCAGTGATTACATTAGAGAAGGACTAAAATGAGGATAGGCTGCATTACAGCAGTGAAAACTGGCATTTCTTTGTTCTTTACCTCAAAACTCAGTGAGAAGGGCAAACTCAGTACAGAGCTTCCTCCTCTCAGCACTACTGTTATTTTAGGTCTGGAGAGTAATGGATGCTCTCTTCAGACCAGCAACATGTAAAGGAATGTGACGGGTCACACAGGACATAATATATTCTGGGCCTATATATATATGCGTATGTTTATCCATTTTGAATTGCAAGTGTTGGATGTGGGAGAGGCAAAATCCTCCTATAAATAATAATGATAATTCAATGAATAAATTATTGTGAAAATTGGTCTATCTGTGATCGCTGTGACCTTCATCAATCAACAAGATGATTGTCTATCTGCACACACGCCACAGTAGATATTAGTATTTAGTGGTATTGCAGGTTGTGGTTTTAAATTGTCTTTATGACATAATGGGCTGGATTTCCTTCCAACAAAGGGAAATGTCCATTCTAATGTCTGATGACCTACACAGACCAGGTAAAGGGACACAGTTAGAGCAACTCATTTCACTATTATGTTTGTTACTATTATTCCTTAAAAGCTGTTTGACAGAATTTTGTGCAAGTCAATATATCTCATTCCTGTAAGCCACTGAGCTACATGCTGGCCAAAACCTATTACAAACATGTCAGTGAGCCAAACCACTGCAGTAAGAGGCATCATTACCATGAACACACAGACACACACACACACACACACACATTTTTTAAGTCCCCACAACATGTGTAATACCTGGACCATACACACACACACACACAGTTAGTTAGTTATTTAGTTTACTTAGCTGCTTGCTACCACAAATACAAGAGTACCAAACATGAAACAGCAGTTTCTGGAAATAATTGAACCTTTTTTTTAAAAACAAATGGAATTCATTCGTTTGAGAGCCAAGGAGGTTAAGAAAGTACTGAGAGATGAACTTACACGTTATAGGTTTTGGTCTTTTCCATGACTTTATTGACATTGATAAAATATTATCAATTGATGCAAGTCTTATCCTTCAGCTGCAACATCTCAGCACTGTTAATAGTCCTGCTATTTGTGTTTCTGTGTTTAGGCCAATGATGCCTCAGGGAACACATGGAACTGGCTGTACTTCATCCCACTCATCATCATCGGTTCCTTCTTCATGCTCAACCTGGTGCTCGGCGTGCTGTCAGGGTGAGTACCAACTGTGAGGATGACCTGAGCGATGTGAGGATGATACTCTGCTCCAGTATTTGCCTTTTCTTTATCTTGCTGTGGGCCTTGGTGAAACTAAAGGAGAAAGGTTGTTTTGCTACAGGCAGTGGAATTGTCTACGTGACATGCAGATGCTGTATGTAGAATACGCTGACAGGGATTCTCTGGAACCTCTGGCATGGTTGTATTTGTCACTGCTGCAGTAGTAACCTCAGACCAGTGCTTTAACACAGGGAAGACTAAAGACACTTAAAAGACGCTGAGTACTTTTGTTATGACAGCCCCATACACGGCAATTAAAAATTGGACAAATCCAACATTTGACAGGTATGCTGGGCCTACATATGGTTGCCCAGCTAATTGGAGATATTTTGCGAACAATTCCTGAAAATACTAATAGAAGGGTGTAATGGTGTCTGGTAAGTGGTAACTCCGAGATGTAAACATTCAAACCTCCCACGTGTATCTTTTTCCCTTCTTCCAGAGTCTGTGCTTCTGTTGCATTCACATCTGTGGCAGGTTCAATGTAATATTCTTGAGGTTTGATGAAATGATATGACTCTGCCACACCATAACAGACGTTATACCGTGCAATAGCGTGCAGAGCCGGTCAACCTGTGGAACACATTCTCTCATGTAAAGAACCACACAGGGAGCAGGCTCAGAGTTATGTGTCTGTAGTTTATTGTCTCTCTTTTCATATTGCCTTGAAGAAGTCTCCAGGTGTTGTTCCTCATGTGCAACACCTAACCACCCCTATACCACCCAAACCAAATCCTGACAGGAATGTTATTTTGTCTCGTGTCAGGTGGATAGAGACCCCTGCACTTGACGACAGGTTGAGACTTACGTGAAATCTGAATCATCTTTCACCTGTGGTCAAAACCTGAAAACTATTTCCCATACAGTTTTATTTGTGTCACGTTTTAAATCGATTTTCTTTTAAACATTCAGGTAAATCATGATGTTGAACCTATAGTGAAATATTACTTTTATAGAGCTTTACAGTGAGTTTTTACTTATTGTCAAGCAGCTTTAGTTCAAATTTCGATTTTGATTTGAAAGCTATACCACATCTGCCAAACCTTGCTTTTACATACTCCCCCCAAATATATTTCAGTGTGTGTGTGTGTGTGTGTGTGCGATGAACACAGAGTTGCATCTATGTTCACTCTCAAGTTTAGTATTAAGGTCATTCTTTTTTGAAAGAGGCCACAGTCTCCATGTTGCAGTTGGCTGCTCTGCTCTTGCCGATGAGCAGATGTGTCTCTTTGCTGCTGTGGAATCTATTTCCTCTCAGACTGGTTGTCCCACAAAGACTTAAAGTCAGCCTTTCTTTTTTCGTCCTGCTGCTATTTTCAGGATGGGCTCTTGTTTCTCAACTTTGTTTCTCGTTTACTAAACTTTGATGACAGTTAATTGGGTGCTGCAGATGGGACTGGACTTTGATGATTACAGTGAACAGACTGCACCGTCAGCAAAGAAGAGCTATTAATGTATTTGTTTCACTCTCATTTTCCTCTGAGTTTTTTCTAGGTTATTTGAAGGCAGCTAGGTTATCAGTCATTATTTATTATTATTAGATTATCAGATTATTAGATTATTTTTCAAATAAATTTTCAGTTTTTAATCCCATATTTAATTATATTCCGAAACACTTGCTGCATCCTGTCTTTTATCCAAATCATGAATCCCTCAACCTAAAATGTATAGTTTTGTTCCTGAATCGCTCCTCCTCACTGATGTCAGGCATCATTTTACATACAGCTATTTCATTTTCACCCCACTTTTTGTATTTATAATTTTTTGGTTTTTCAAACATTACTCAACAGTAATGAAAAAAAGATAATAGAAAGAAAAAGATAAATATAAATGTGAGCACTACTTTCATTTTACAATCTTTTTCTATTGATCTATTCTTACATCATCTGAGAACATGACTCATCTTTTGTCTCGTAAGCAGTCCAGGCTCCTCGTGATGGCTTCTTGTTTTAGTCCTGGGACAGTGAGTCAGATAAGTCAGAGAGTTTATTTCCTCCACACTGTCCAGCAACTGCTCAGCAGTTGGAGTGTCACATTTCAACCAACTCCTTGTGATGGCCTTTTTACATGCAAGTATCAAGATTCTGAAGAGATAAAGGCTGTTGATGTCACCTGGTATCAAATCCACTTGTAACAGAAAACAAGAATAACCCTGTCCTATAATGGTTTTTACACATGACTTTTACACATCACCTGCAAATCTGTTAGAGATTGTCCTTCAACTGCCCGAACTGCCTCCAGTATTGTACACTTAATTGTTAATTTATTCATATGGAGTATAATTAAAAAAACACAGAATTCTCCCTCCATGTCATAGAGCTGGTGGCCGTTTGCCACATTTTACACATGGAATGGAAATCACTCTTCTGAACCACAACATGTTTGATGTTGTTGTATGAGAAAATGATCATCTACTACTAAACTCCCTTAGTCTACCACGAGGATTAGTTTTGTATCCCATCTGTTTTCTTAACAATTCTTAACTTTTACTTTCTGATATCACTTAGCTATGGCCCAGAAACACATGGGAATCCTGATTTAAAGGTTCAGTGTGTAAGATTTAGGTGAAAGGAATTTTTGGCAGAATTTGAATATGAAATAATCCTAGTAGTGTTTTCACTAATGTTTTTCATCTAAATTGAATGAATTGTTGTTTTCTTTACCCTAGAATGGGCCCTTTATATTTAAATACTTTATATTTACATGGAGGGGGGTCCTCTCTATGGAGGCCGCCATGTTTTCTACAGTCGTCCAAACTGGATAAACTAAAACCTTTTGAGTTTTCATGACAACTGAAGTTCACCACAGGTTCTCTGTCATGTTGGGAAGAGGAGGGTGAGATGAGGAATATTCAGCTGCAACATGCAACTTCACCTCTAGATGTCACTAAATTCTACACACTGAACCTTTAAATGTTTGAGGGCTGACTATGGGCCCTTGAATACTGAAGTAAGCTATGTACACCACGTTGTAGCACTCAGGACTTACAAAACACAGGGCCAAGTATTTGATAGATGCCACGCATTTTGAAAATTTCACTTGCTCTGTGAATACATTATTTATCTTCAGACATTATCTATGGTGAAACCACAGTAACAATGAAAGCAGAAAAGAATGAACCCAGCACAGAGCACAATTGAGAGCGGGTCCTCCTCCTCTCCTACACATCTCTCTCTTCAGTAGCTCGAGCTCTCTCTTCATCACCCTCTTTCACTGCTGTAGCTGCCACAGCATATAGATGAAGCCTGGGATTATTTAATAATGGATTCATAATTCATTAGATAACTCATCATACAGGGTGGACTGCTCAGCTTTCTCACATGTGTTTTCTCGGGTCTCTAGCTTTTCTCTTTTGCCCCTTCGTGTTCGTGAAAAATTGACTAAATTCTTCTGAACTGATGGAGCAAACATTCAGTCTCAAGGTTAAATAGCATAAATGTTTTCTGCAGAGCAATGTGCTCTACAATTAAAATTTAAACATGATGAAAAAATGTTAAATGTGATTTTACCCATGTGAAATAGTACATTTAAAACAGAAACTCATTCTGTGGGATGTAGACTCAATGTTGATATTCTAGTGGTGGCCAAAAATACATTAATGTGTGGGAAACACTAGGACTACTGTCATTTACATGATATAAGATAACGCTCCTGCCTGTTCCAGGAGTTTCTCTCACAGCAATAAACTTGTAGCAGCAGCAATCTGATTCAAATCAATCATGAACACATCCTAACCCCAATGACTACTGATTCATTTTGGAATCGACTTTAAAAATGTTTTTGATTACCTCCAGTGCAAACTTTGTGTTTGGCTCCAAACTACAGTTCCTAATTCCTGAGCCTTTATGAGCCTGTTTTCAGCCAGAGGCCCTGCCAGTGTCCTCATAACTGTTTCTTTGATTCAGTTGATGCAGTCAAGTCTGCACAGCTTTAGAACACCATGCCTGATAAACTGCATCTACGATTAAACCCCTCATTTGGTATCTCTGCAGCATCTTCATTTGAAAATGTACAACCTTCAGTTTGCCATTAACCACTCTTACATCAGGTGATACTTTTATTTTAACCTCCCTTATCTGCATATTGTCATATTCTCACCCTCACACTCATACATACACAGAGAGAGACTTGGGCAGGTAGCCTTTAGCAGCCCCCTCTGTGGTCATCTTGTCCTTTCTGTTTCCTGCTCTCTCCACAGAAGTTGTCAGATGGCCTTACGCTCACTGTGGAGGTGTAAGGTCACTGATGCTGTCTGGCAGGGCAGTGCGGGGGCCATGCCATTGTTTAAAGGCCATGATCTGAGCTTCAGAGCAGGCGGGAGAGCAGACACATGCAGGGTTGAGAGGCTGCAGATTTCCCCCCCCCCCCGCCTTCCCCCTAGGGGAGGTCAGGGCCATTTGGTCAGTGTTTATCCATCAGCAGCGTGGACAGGCTGTGATGTATGTGTCTGTGATCAAATTTTAATCCATAGTCTTTCTCACACACACACGTAGACCTCCAGTTTGTCTAACCTATATTTACACACTTTAACTGTAAATAGCTGACAATGTGTCTTGCACATATCAGATGAGAACTCTCGTGGAATGAAAGTGTCTCTGTGTCTTTCTGAAATGCCAGAACCTTCTAATGTGGTGGATTCCTTCTGCCTTTATTGTTGTCTTTTTGTTAGCACTTCATTGTCGGCTCTATGAGGTGTGTACCGTCTGCAATAGAAATATAGCGTTTGGTACAATCGTGAGATCCTTCTTGTCTGTAGTTAACAAAATCCCCTCAATGCAAGTTCTCCTTGAAGTCTTCTTCTGCAGCTTTCCACCATATTCCACTGTTTTAATTAGCAGAAGTTTTTTCCACAGCTGGCGTGTACCTGTAAATGTTCAGAGGTTTTTTTTAGAGGTGCTAAGTATTCATGGATTCCCTCTATCCACTCTGGTTGGTGCTCTGTATTTCCACAGTGAGACTAACGAGGGAGATTTGACCATTTTATTCAGTGAAACCTATGCAATCATGAGAAAATACTTGTCCAAACAATTAATAGAAGTTAGTTCATAGTATTCCAAACAGCAAGTTCTCTCCTGTCTCTCTCTGACCTCGGACCCTCTGCTCATCACCCTGTCGTGATGCAATGGTGGTCCTGCTTTACCGATCAGCATCAAACAAGACACATTCTCTACTTTCACTTTAAGCATAATCATCTGTGCTGACAGCTACAGTATCAGCTGCAGGGACTGGCACAATAATTACCTCTGCCAAGAAGGAACTGAACTGATTTCCATGAAATTTTGTGATGGGGTGGAGCGTGACCCAAGGACGAACCCATTAAATCTTGGAGCTGATCCAAATAAATAGCAGATTTTTTTCCACTTCCTTTTACAGCTTCTGTTTCCCACAGAAGTAATTCAATATATGGCAGTAACAGGAGTACACACTCAAGAAGGATAATCTAACACGCAATATATTTTGAGTGACAAAGTTTTTGCATGAGAGTACTGCAGTACATGCCACATGTGGGTACACACACAACTGCAGCTGAAACTATGAGGCCAGACTGTCTGCGTGGATGGTAAAAATTATATGGACAATAGTGTGAGAGCACGCAGTAAATATAATACTGTATAATAGTGCTGCACACAGCTATACAACGCAGCAACAGAGCAAATCACCACAGACTCTGTAAACGAGCCCTGTTTGTTAATGATACAGGCACCAGACTGGGAGGAAAATGATCCAGATATCAAAATATAAAATACTGTCCAACACTGATCAGCAACAAGTTCATGGATTTAGTTTAAAGCACTGGAAGACAAACACGGGCCTGATTTATGGTGGTGTATGGTATAGATATTATTAGTACCTATAGTACCTGTGTCATGCATTTTTGATCACAGAAATGCAGTGTACTGTACTCAGCAGCAGAGGCAGAGAGAGGACCCTAATGCAGACATTAGGCAGGTTGATGCAGTGAAGCACTTTAATTAAGAAAACCAGGCTTACAGGCAGATGGAGGATAACCTATCAGACGAGAAGTCAGGCAGGAACACACAAGTGGAACACAAGCAGGGACTAAAAAGAGACAGTCTCACGCTGAGTACAGACTAAGGGCTGGTGGACGTCCTAATGCTGAGGTGATTGCAGGGCTGGTGTTTAGTGGGAGCAGGTGGATGAATGGGCGGGGCAGCCAGGTGAGTGAGGGCAGGGAGAAAAAGTCTGAGGACATCTTGTGGGTAGGAATTAGAATGCAGATCTGTGGGGAAGAGGAGGGGGCATGAGCTGAGCCTGGAGACAGAGGGACTTGTAATCATTTCATTTACTGGATCTGACTCATTGTGTAAGCTTTATGTCTGCGCCCATGTGTACATGTATACAAATCGGTTGCATGTGTGTGAGACAGCGCGAGGGTACGGCTGCAAGCTGCTACAATGCTGGGAAACCCTAGCTGCTAAGATTTCTCCCTGTATGCACACACACACACACGCGCGCTGGCACACAGTACACTCACCCAGTGCCCACTGATGCACTGCACACACATTATATATCGAGAGATGTGTAGCCACACTGGCAGGCACATATAGAAACAGTAGCACCCTCAGGAAGGCAGGCAGGCAGGCTGCCACTGCAATGCAGAGTGGAGCTCCCCCCTCTGCTGTGTGGGAGCCACACCAATCACTGACGGGCAGGGGGGGGGGCGGGACTGGAGATCCCTTGTTATTTCAAGTCTGTCTTCCTCTTTCTTCCTCTGTCCTTTTCTTTGTTTTTCTTCTCTTATTCCATCCCCCCCTTTCTACCTCACATATGACTTAACCCTAATGTTGGCAAAGCAATGCAGTGACAATGAAGATAATGACATCAGCTTTAACAAATGAGTGGTGTAACATTAATAGTGAGGTAACATACTAATGGCATTTTAATAGCCACACAATAGATACATGATTCAATCAGGATTTCATTTCATTCATGATTTTTTTCCTCCGTATACAAGTATCATTAAATTGTGAGATATATGTACTACATAATTATATGTGCATATTTTGTTTGTTAACAACTTGCTGACATACAGAGAGGATGGATGTCAGTAAGAGAGAGGGGTGATTTATACAGGGTAGATTAATAACACTAAGTCCATCTCCTGTGCAGTTCCAGTTGTTTTAAGACACAGACACAGATTCAAGGAGATGCCCATGCATCACTGCTGTCTGCCACACACTTCGAAAGGATCTCTGTTTTATTACAACTTGGCCCTTTGTACTTGTTTCTGTTCCTGTCTGTGAGAATAGCACTGATGCTTACAATGTGTTGATGTGACATATTTACAGGGGGTCCGTTACGCAGTAGCTAAGCTGTTTTCAGATATGAACTCAGAATATCTGCACAATTGCTTCTGGACTTTCTCTGGAGTTTATCTTTCACACATGATCTACATGCAGCAGGGGTTTCTGGAGGTTGGTGGTAATGCGATGTCAACCAATAACAGTTTTCCTACTTGAATCTTTTTTGTACTCTTTATTAAGAATGATTGAGCGATATTGTATCACAGAGCTACAAGTCAAATGTTTCTTATTTTTCTGGAACACCTTCCCTTTCCCTCTCATGCATCATGACTGGCAATTGTTGGATGATTCAGAGTATGTTTGTTATGTGTTGTCGCACAGTCTCTAACAACCTTGTGTTGAGTCTCTTACGTCTTGTGGGCAATATCAAATAATTTTGTCCAAGTGAAGTTACAAGACATTGGTTACTGAACTGAAAATATGTTTTGGTTTGATCAAGTGTTGTCAACTCAGGGTCAGACTTGAGTCGTTGTCACAGACAGATATTAGCTTTTTATCTAAGCATAGACGACCCGCAGTTGATGCTGACTTTAGCTGCTCCACAATGTATCAGGACGCAGACTCTGTCTTACCTGCTGGAAGCCAGCCTGCTGTATGCCTGTCAGTCGGCTTCAGGGTCTGTGTTGACGCGTCAGATCCTCTTAATATGTGTGTGATTTCTACAGGGAGTTTGCCAAAGAGAGAGCGAGGGTGGAGAAGAGGCAAGATTTCCTGAAGCTCCGCAGACAACAGCAAAGAGAAAGAGAGTTGACTGGATATCTGGAGTGGATCTGCAAAGCAGGTCGAAAACAAAACACACACAAACATGAGTAATGTGGGTTACGAATGAGGGCGTACCCCTAACTGATCATGACCTAACTGTAATGGATGTTGACAGAGATATGACCTAATTACGACTCCTTTGAATTCAACTGTGGTATTTGTGTTACAGAGGAGGTGATGCTGGCTGAGGAAGACAAGAATGCAGAGGAGAAATCTTTAGATGGAGCTTGGTACAAAAGGAAACACAATAACTCAGGTGAGGGCTGCTATGTTCAGAATCCGTTGTAAAGATAGAAATCAGGCAGCCAGCTTTAAAAACACTGCATTTTACAGAACAGCGTCATGTTAGAGGCGTAAGCTGGTGTTCAGCAGCTAAATGAACCAGAACCAAAATACAGAGATAATCAGTATCTACCCATAAAATCAATTTTGTCCTACCTGCCCTTAGGGAGAAAATAACAGAAGTATCAACAGCTCCATTACTTGCAATGAAATCTCACATTAAATGCAGTATTAAACTAGTATAATTCATGTTGCTAATTGAAAATGAGCTATACACTGTTTGGCTCCACTTGATAATGAATTGCGACAAATTGAGTTTAGATAAAAATGTCCAGATCATATATATATATATATATATATATACAGGGGGTGACTGGGATCAGCTAGAACTGACTTGGTCTTCTTCAACGACCAGGCCTTGTGCAGTTTAGGGAGGTAGTTTAGGGTGGTGCATGCTATTTTGCTGCACTCTCTGATGATGCCTTGTAGTTGGTTCTTATTAAGCTCATGTATCCATCATTCACATACCTGCTCAAGTATTAACTGCATTTACTGTATATACTTACAGTAAAGTACCAATACACAGTATGTATATTATCAAATCATAAAACACAACACATGTTGTTTTGAAAACACTGTATATTAATAGATAATGCTGTTTATATGTATGGGAAATTGAATAGGTTCTTTCTGTTAATCCTAAAGAGTAAAGAGCATGTGGCTGATACGAGCCATTTCCACTGGTATCCTCTGAAGTGTATGTTTGTGTGTATTTTTGGTTGTTTGTGTGTGTTTACTCTCCTATTATCAAGGCCGTACTGCGTCTCATCCACAGCCTGACCCAGGGTAACAGTCACAGTGATTATAGGTGGAAGGGTAATGAGATTAGAAGGAAGCAGAGTGAGTGAGGCTCCCCAGAGTTCAGAGCGTGGGAGTGCGGGGGCCCTTCACACTTTTAAAGCTCTTCTCTCTGGATAGCTCGCAAAAACTAAACTCAGCAAAACTAAACCGTGTTAAATTACAGAGTCTATCACCAACAGTTAGCTGGGAAATATGTGTATATTTCACTTGTCACACACAGAATTCAGATGAACAAACAACCAAACTGTGTCAAGACAATACAGCAAATCATTTTAAGGCATTTTATTGATGTTGCTACAGTGAAGCGTTGTTCGATTAGGTTGTTTGACAATTTCACTGACACGACTTCACCATGTTCTGTAAAATGTCACTCAGAGTGGCTTCATAAGCCTGAAGGTGCAGTTTGTAGGAGTCGGGGGGATCTATAGCATCCATGATGTTTTAATTTGTGTATAATCACCTGAAACAAAGTACTCATGTGTTTTTGTTATCATACAAAATTTAATCATGGGAGCCGGTCCCTCTCTGGGGTCAGCCATGTTTATACAGTAGCCCAGAAAGGACAAACCAAACACTAGATTTAGAGGGTCTGTGCCATTTTCATGTTACCTGAAGGCCACCGTAGCTTCTCCTACACTCTTACTTACAAGGAGAGGGTAAGGTGAGGGGTATTCAATTGGTTGCCATCTGTTTCGTCACCACAAGATGTCACTAAATCCTACATACTGATGCTTTGATAAAAATGATTGAGTTCTGGATTTTATCATATGCTTTGTTTACATTCCATCTATTAATTTCTTGTGAATTATCAAGCACTTTGCAAAGTGGATTTAAAAATGAGTTCTATAGATTAATTATCGATCGTCCTTCTGATGTTTACTGATGATGACTGACACATTACAACGATGAGTCACGTAACGAATTTGAGGCACAGCTGCTGTGTCTCAGTCACATGTAAGTTTCCACATCTATTTATGGACAAGTTGTGGAAACAAATATCATGAAGTAATTGAAATTCTTCAACAGAATAAGGTTTACACTTGGCTTTGATACTCTGATGAAAGAATGCATAAATCCTGTTTTGTGTTCACAAATTTAATTTCTCCCTTTTAAAAATTGTAGTTACCTGTATCAAGCTTTGGCAGATTTGGCCGTCTGTCTAGTTTGTTAAGATAATCACTGTGTTGAGTAAAGATTTCACATTCACTCCACCCACCCACAGATGAGCAAAGATGCCAGTGGTCAGGTGGTGATGTTGGCGATCTTGGCACAGGTACAACATCTTTGCAGCACCACACTAGAGTTTTTTATGTACAACCCCAAATCAGAAAAAAGTTGGGACGGTATGTTACATTTAAAATTAAAACCGAGAACAGTGATTTCTAAATGATCGTTGACTTGTATTACAATGAAAACAAACTAAAAAATCACATTATTTGATGTTTGACCTCATGAATTTGATCTTTCTTTTCAAAATAAACACTTTTCAATTTCAATTTTGATTCTTGCAACATATTTCAAAAAAGGTTGGCACAGTAAAGCATTTAACACTTTGCAATGTTGCTGTTCCTTCACACTTAAAAGACATTAGGGACTTTAGACACCAAGTGATTAAGTGTTTCAGGTCTCATTTTGTCCCATTCTTCCTGCAAACAAGTCTTAAGGTATGCAACAGTACAGGGTCTCTGTCGTCGCATTTTGCGTTTCTAAATGTGCTACACATTTTCTATTGTGGCTAAGTTGGGACTGCACCCAGGCCAGTCCAGCACCCCCAGCCTCTTCTTCAGCAGCCATTCCTTTGTAATGTGTGCAGAATGAGGTTCTGCATTGTCTTGTTGAAATATGTTTGGATAACTCTGGAAAATATGTCGTCTTGAAGGCTGCAGATGCTGCTCCAAAATCTATATATACTTTTTGGCATTAATGATGCCATCACAGAAGACCCTGGCTTTTGGACTTGTTGCTGATAACACTCTATATGGTCCTTTTCATTTTTAGTCTGGAGCACACTGCATCCATTTCTTTAAAAAAAGACCTGAAATACTGACTCATCTGACCACAACACACGTTTCCACTGTGTATGGTTCATCCCAGATGCCTCTGAGTCCAGAGAAGTCGACTGTGCTTCTGGACATGGTTAACATAAAGCTTCCTTTTGGCACAGTACAGTTTTAACTGGCATTTTTGGATGTATCTTGTAGTGCTTGACAAAGGTTTGCCAAAGTAATCCTGAGCCCATGTGGTTATATCGCTTATAGATGAATGACGGCTCCTGATGCAGTGTCGTCTGAGGGATCGGAGAGCACAGTTATTCAGCTTAGGCTTGTGCCCTTGCTCTTTAAGCACTGATTTTCTCCAGATTCTTGGAATCTTTTAATAATGTTATGCACTGTAGAGGATGAAATATCCAAATCCCTTCCTATCTTTATTTGAGGAACACTGGTTTTAAACATTTCAATAATTTTCTCACACATTTGTTGGCAAACTGGTGATCCTCAGCCCACCTTTGCTCCCAAAGGACTAGCCCTTTCCTGGATGCTGCTTTTGTATCAAATCATCATTCTACCTCATTAGCAGCCCTTAATTGATCCCGTCCCGACCTTTTCGGAACGTGTTGCAGGCCTGAATGGCAGGAATGGATGTATATTTACAAATAAAATGAAGTTGAGCACACGAAACATAAAATATCGTCTGTTCATACTGTCTGCAATGAAGTACAAGTCAAATTAAAAAAAATGTATTTGTGTTTTCCATACTGCCCAACTTTTTCTGAGTTGGGGTTGTAATTATTTCAACCATGGTCCAGTCCTCTTGACCTCATCAGTGGGTACAGCCATGAATGAATGGCCTTGCGCGATGGGGCAAATCATTTTATATATATATATGATGGAACAACTGAAAGTTTATGAGTGAAGATATATGACAGATATGAGTGGGGGAGTTCTTGGAATTTCACCATGAGTAGAATATAGAGAGAGATTCTTTGTAATTGAACTTGAATAAAAGATATATGTATCAGAGTAACATAAGGTCAGCTGCTTTATAGCTGTTGTGATCTATATTTTTTCATGTTGTATTTGCAGTGCTGAAGAGGACAAAGAAGAGTAAGAATGACCTCATTAATGCAGAGGAGGGTGAGGACCACCTCACCGACATCTCATCTGTTGGTGAGGCCGACCTGAGACACAATATCTGCCATGTTACTGCAGGTCCCCATACTCTATAGTCTCTATAGTCAAACTGTGTTGGTACTGTAACATAAAAACTGCTTGTTCATTCTGATAAAGGATTGGTTGATGTATTGCTCGGTACACAGTTTTGTTAAAATTATTAAGTTCCCAAATCTAAGAAGGAAACAGTCTGAATATCCACAGTAGGAACTGGTAAGAGGATGTAGTGATCAGAAGAAGCTGAGAGGCTCCAGACTGATATTTTGTTCTTCAATGTCTTCCAGTGTTCTTGCCTTTTACTACTTCAAATTAGCATATTACAGGTTTTGTGCAGGGTGATGACAGAGGATGATGCAAAACAATGCTACAAGGGTGGACTCTATTTTCCTAATTTCAGATATTAGTACTGGCCAGCATATAAAAAGATATACTATACATATAATACACAAACTAGTTTACTGGATTTACTCTCACAGGTAAACTGGTGTCTCAATGAAGCCAAATCTTGCCCCTGTTAGTGCTGGCAACGTTTAAACTAGTAATTATAACAATGGAAATCTGAGTGGGTCATTTCATAGCTTTTGTTTGATGTCAATTGGGGGGACTGTCACCTCGATAGTATTACACAACTTTGTAAGTGTGCAGTTTACATCAAAATGAAGGCTGAGTTTTAAGATGGGTGTGGGTGGTGAGCCTTACTGCTGATATTTGCAGTTCTTACATTGTCAGATAAGGAAATCATGGATATAGGCAGAAAAAAATCAGAGGGTAAGAATGGAATAATTTTAAAATAGAGAGATTGGTGTGGGACTTCAGGTCATACAGCCTCCTCAGCCCCATGAGTCACATATCTAGATTAAAATAGACCAGGAAATAATTAGCCCTCTATTCTTCCTGTGCTCGTTATGAAATTCTAATAGAACCATTTTTCTCCCTCCTTTCAGTGTCTTCTCCCACTTGACATTTGGGCTTGATTTAAGTTGCAGAAGGTTTAATACAGTACAGGCTAAATGGGAATAGGGAGGTGAGAAGTGAAGACCATGGCACTGAGATCCAAGAGTCAAGGGCTTTTCTCTGGTGACATCACAGTTAATTCTTGTCAGACTATAAAATATATTTTATGAACAGTTTACAAGTTACATATATCACGTTTGTTCCTCTGTTGGCCCTTCCCATATTTTTTTACTGTGGCAGTAGAACACTTCTATAAAATGTAGGCAACTGTAGGCAACTACTTTCAACCTGGACAACCAATGTTCAGGTTGAAAGTAACTATGCTCAAACCCAGTCTTGAGTTTAGTGGTAAGTCCACCTCCGTCTTAGAATTGGTAACTTTATTTTTTCTATGTTTTGCACCAAACAGCCCCCCAAGGGTCGCCGTTTGCCCGGGCCAGCGTGAAGAGCAAGAATGAGAACTCATCTTACTTCAAGAGGAAAGTGAAGAGGATTCGCTTTACCATCCGCCGTCTGGTCAAGTCCCAGAGCTTCTACTGGACTGTGTTGTGTCTGGTTGGCCTCAACACGTTGTGTGTAGCCATTGTGCACTACGACCAACCGGACTGGCTCACCTATGCCCTATGTGAGGACCAACAGATGTGTGCATAATGAATTACTGTCGCGTTAACCATTATACCTATGTCTCTTTTTATCTTACAATATTACTATGTTATATTTATACATAAACACATAGAAATCTTGGCATGTTTTTTTTGCTGCTGCCCTGCTTTAGAATTAGATAATCAGGGAAACTGCAGAACCACAGCGTATATCCCACATATACAGTTATTTTCTAAATCAACAGACTCTTTGTTTGTTGTATTTTCTGTGGGCACAGCTCTATTGAACTTTGGGAATCAGAATAACCTGGGTATTGATCTGCATGTTTTATTTTCCCCCCTTGACAGATCTGGCAGAGTTTGTATTCCTGGGCCTGTTCTTGGCAGAGATGTCCATGAAAATGTATGGACTTGGACCCCAGAACTACTTCCACTCCTCATTCAACTGTTTTGACTTCGGGGTGAGTGTTTTCATTCAGCTGGGAGTTACATCAATGCACAGTTGTAAAGTGTGAGCATGTATAGTATGATACATGAAATTAAGGACTGGCGCTACTCTAGAGAAACGTTTTTGGTGATTGTCAGAATAGCAGAAAGGATCAAATGTTGGGAAGAATAAGAAGAAGGAGAAAACTGTGGTTGCCCTCAGCATTTATCAGAATGTGTTCACAGGTGATCATCGGCAGTATTTTTGAGGTGATCTGGGCTGCCATCAAACCTGGAGCCTCATTTGGAATTAGCGTCCTGCGAGCTCTGAGACTGCTCAGGATCTTCAAAGTCACCAAGTGAGTCATCAGTGATGTCTGTGTTGGGAAAACTGTTTATGTATAATATACATAGTCATGCAGTGTGTGTGCGTGTGTGTGTGTGTGTGTAGGTACTGGAACTCCTTAAGGAACCTGGTGGTATCTCTGCTCAACTCTATGAAGTCCATCATTAGCCTGTTGTTCCTCCTCTTCCTCTTCATTGTGGTCTTCGCTCTGCTGGGCATGCAGCTGTTTGGTGGCCAGTGAGTCATTTAATTCTACTGTAGCTGCTCGTAGTGGACTACCATTGTCTATGTTGTTTATTTAGTCTCAAAATCAAAGATAAGCCTCAGCCCTGTGCCTGCGGACCGGCAGTTGTGCAAGCAGAGCAGAAATACTCACCCGAGACTACACCTCTCTGTTTGTGGATACTGTACTTCGCGCTTGCAGAGTGAAAAATGCTCCATTGCCAGTAAGATTTTGCGCTCGTGGATACCGTTTTGTGCACTTGTATCAAATGGGCGGGCGTGATTTTAATAAAATATCTAAATCTAAATAAACGTAGAGGTGTGCATCTCCACTAACCTTATAATTCGGTTAGATTCCGATTCAGCAATCAAAGATTCAAATCACAACGACGCATCTTAATGTATCACATCCACAATTTCCTATAGTACTGCACACGGTTGCTTTTCATCAGTTAATAAAATCAAAATCTTTTATTTGAGAAAGTTCTTTAAAAAGTATTATAGACTGTTGCTGTTATAATTTAGCTTCTTCTGCATAAGTGAAGTCAGAACACCGAGCTGACTGTGCTTCACATCACGTCTCATGTTGTGTAGCAGGTTTAAACATGTGTCTCATAAACTCTAGAGCGAATTAAAACAAACACAAACTAAACGTCAGTCCTGTACGTGTCCTAATAACTTGTGATCAGTGATGGTGTTTATTGTTAAAGTGTAAAGTGAGCGCAGGTCAGAGGGGAAGCGAAGAGGAAGCAGACGCCGACAGACTCTGACACAGACCGGACCTTTAATGTAGGTCTGTCTGAATCGAGAAATTTAATTTCTTTCACACCTCTAAATAAACGGCATAACTGCCTTTGAGCAGGATGGATGCAGTTTTTACTGTAGTGTTTAATACAGAAATATGTTGCAATGTATGTTACAAAAGGGCAGACAGGCGATATTTCAGGGATGGCTCGATGATCTTGATCATGGACAAAAATGTCAGCTATAGCACAACCCATCCATTTAAGAAGAAGAATGCTCAGAGATCAGCCATAAGGTCACATAGACAAGGATGACACAAATGTAATAGGCATATATTACACTGCAGTGGCCTGATGGAGAGGACAATACGCTGCTCCATCATCCGTAGGTGGAGGAGTGAATGGGACTTTGTGGCTTTGGAGCTTGATTACATTCAACATTTTTGCCCCTGCAGGTTTAATTTTGAAGACGAAACACCGACAACTAACTTTGACACATTCCCAGCAGCCATTCTCACTGTGTTCCAGGTAAAGGTCAACTCCATCATGCTTTCTATCCTGCTCTGCTTTTACCACTGAACTAGACTCAGAAAGCAGCTTGTGTCTCCCCCCTGCAGATCCTAACTGGGGAAGATTGGAATGCGGTCATGTACCACGGGATCAAATCACACGGGGGCGTTCATGGGGGAATGTTCTCCTCCATTTACTTCATCGTTCTCACTCTCTTTGGAAACTGTATCCTACTTGATTGATCCATATTCTTTTCACTCTTGTGGCTGTCGGGCAGTTCTATAGCTCTGGAAGAATGTTTCATTGATTTGAAGAACAGCTTCAGTTGTGAATATAGATTATGTGTTTGTTTGAACTTTTCCTGAAACCACAAATAACCAGACACACTTCTTAATGTCTTCTTGGCCATTGCTGTTGATAATCTTGCAAATGCCCAGGAGCTCACTAAGGTACTGTATTTCCTTATAGCTTGAGATATATATCTCTGGCTTTATAGGTTCAAGATATGGGGCAGTAGCACTGACGTACCCACAGCAGCCATCAATAGTAGTCCTTAAATCACATGGCCTTTTATCACCTTTGAGAAAGCACAATGAACCTTGTTACCGGATTGTTCACTTTGGAGGAGTGGGTGATTATGACCGATGCATTGCTCAGTAACTCAACGTAATGAACTTGTATTACCTCACCACTAAAGACAAACCTTTTATTCAATATGTCAGCCACTGCTTTAAAGGTGCTATTTGTTGTAATTGTAAGTTAGCATGCCAACCAGTTTGCCCCAGCTTGGCCATCTTTTTGAAATAGTCATTCGGTCGTGATGTGTAATATCTGTTTCCTGTTCCAAGCTCTGGTATTATTGTTGCTGGTTACAATAACAAGCTCAAAAGCAATAGCTGTGTCTCAATTCAGGGGCTGCATCCTTTGGAGAATCTTGTCTACTCAGCTTACGAAGACCGCCTCCTTCATGGGCTGTGTAGACCGCAAAGTCTTAACTGCAATGAGATGGTCTGGTCTGCAGAGCATTTCATTGACGGGCGTTAACAGCAGATAATGTCCAGTCTCCTCTAAAGATGTAGTTCTGCTTAGTATTATATATTATGTCTTATATTGAAAACTCAACAATGACTGAAGCTCTTGGCCAATGACCATCACCACAATGCATCATATATCATATCAATTGCTAATCTGCAGCTGTCAAAGAAACTCAAACATCACTTTCAGTGACATTAGTGTAACAGCTCTCTAAAACAAGAAAGGTGTAAGTCAGCGGACAAGAAAGAAAAAGAATCTCAAAGTTTACAATAAACTGAATTTATCAAAAGGAGGGGGGTTGGGGGGACTTGCTGGGTATTGTATATATGTATTTTTTTCCCAATTCTGTCCAGGATGAAGAGGAGCAAGAGGAGGCCATCAATAAGAAACTTGCACTCCAGAAGGCCAAGGAGGTAAAGGAGGTCAGCCCTATGTCAGCTGCTAACATTTCCGTCACAGCGTAAGTCAACCCCTTCCAATATTTGCTTCGTCTTCCTCTTATTTTGGAATGAAAGTATACATACCCACAGACAAGGCACAACAGCTAATTCGCTAAAGACCAGCTCACTGATATGTCAGCACATATGACATCAAATACATTTTAATATAAAATTCCTGCTGTATTTTTGCTGAAGGCATCAACCTTTAAATGTAACAGAGTTTTCTTTCCTCATACATGGTCTCTGTTTGATTTTGTTCTTGGGTTACTTTTCCAAGATGACAACCACATGTTGGTAGTTTTTCCTTCCTCTTGTTGAGGGTTTAGGACAGGGGATGTTGCACCTTGTTAAGCCCTGACAAATTATTTAATATGGGCTATACCAATAAAATTTGATTTATTGATGTTAATCTCCTCACCTACACATTTTCTTCACAAGGCAGATTCCTGGCTTGCTGTCTCCCAAAGGACCTGTGCCGTAGATTTCTGCAGAGTCTCATAAGTGAAAATAAACATGTTTTCTTTCTCTCAAACGACCAGTATGTCTATGGTATTCCGTTATAATGTTAATATGTAACCACCACAGAAATACAGCATGTATGATAGAGAGAAGCTTTAATAATCAACACAAGGCCAATTAGGCACTTACTTTGGATTCTCCAGGCAGTATATCTGTATAGCAGTTTTTGTTAAATCCTATTATTGATTTAGTCATTGTATTGTTTTAGTTCTTGTTGGTCTAGTTTATCCTTGTTTCATTATTTTTGTTCACAGCATCATTATGAAATGTGTAGATTGTAGTCTCCTTTGCTGTTCTTCTAAAATATACTGTTCTGTATCTTGAGAAAAATGGCAACATAATAATAGAAATTCAGTATTCTGTAAGATGTGTTATTTAATATGCATTTTCTGTCTTAGCTCATTTTTGAACATAACTTACAGAACATAACGGGCATAAATAATGTCATTGGTGGAGTTCAACCTCAAATCGACGTGCAGCACAAAGCAGCAATGCTAATTGGTGGTATTGTAATGGAGAAGGTTTGGAAACAGTACAACATTAACCTTGAAGTGCTGTCACAGTCACACTCATACGGCACAATGACTTCAGAATGATTCAGTGAGTGTGTGACTTTAAGTGTGAATGAGGGAAATTTGGTCAAACAATAAACTTAAAAAAGCAATGACCTTAAGTTCTTTTAATCAGGGACAGCGATTCACCAGGTCACTCTGTAGTTCCCCTCAGCTTTATGGAGCTTTCAAACCCCTGATAGCTTTTGGTGTCTCAGTATCCAGTAGCATACAGCAGCAGTGGATCAAACTCTCTTCAGCTCAGGCAGGTTTGAATCTTTGGAGTTTACCTGCATGGATTTCCATCAGGTACACCGCCTTCCTCTCACAGGCCAAAACTGTCCAGGTTAGGTTACATCTGTAATTGACTAGGTGACCTGTTCAGGGGATAAGTGGGTTTAGCTTACACATCGACTTCAGACAAGCAGTTGTAAGAGAAAAAGCTCAAACTTAGAGACAAGCGTTAGAGACATGCTGGTGAATTTAACGCAACAGCTAAATAATTATTTTCTATATCTCTCTGGCCTGTGAGGACTCTGGTCTAACGCAGTGAGAGCACGGGTAGGGTGCAGGTTGTTAGGTGACAGGTACGCCAGCCAATCGTTTTATTCCAAATGACATTACTGGTCATGTACATTACATAACAGTCCTGCGAGGCCCAAAGATCTGCATTTTTTTTTCTTTTTCTTGTCAGACAACTATATTTATTGACGGCTTTTGGAACATGAGATAAAAAAAATCAGAGACAACTTACCTACCTTTAAGCTGTCAACAAGTGGCCAACAAAAACATCAACAGCAAATGCAGCTTTTTGTCCTGTGCACACTTAAACCAGGTCAGTCTTACTGTCAGTGGACGTACTGGTCCACAACTGGCCTACAAGTGAAATCAACAGCACTTTCAGTTGGGTCAGTAAAATTGTCCAACATTAGCACCACTCTAAATATTTTCAGCTCTACCCATGACATTATTCTTGTATCCATAACTCTCTACTCTAGTTGCAAATATCCATAAAATGATATCCATAAATGCACCTCTTGCATTACCAGTCATAGTAAAATGATGCTTGTTTATAGATATCAGTATAGCCCTACTATCTCAGAAGTGGGCTTATTTTCTTTGTTCAATTTAGCATTTTAACTGAAAGTACTGACATCTGAATTATCTTGCTGTCAGTGTGGCAGTCACTGTCCCTGACGGCCCAGTTTTGGACATTTCCTGTCTGGTTCAGTCCCAGTCCTGTTTCTGTGCTCTGACTGCTGATTACATTGAAATGTAATGAGAGGCTAAAGGACAAAGAGAAGACAGAGAAATGTTGAACGGTGTCTGGCCTTTTCCCTGACTTCATCCTTTATGATGTTTTCCCCTCCCCCATTTTTGTTTTGTGCATGTGCAGTTTTCTAACACGCACTCGAGGTAACGCGCATTCTAGCAGCTCATCCATCTGCAGCGTTAACTCACTGTGAGTTATAACCTCTCTGATTCAACTTTTAAATCCTCCCATTACCCTCCTTCTCTCATCCTTCCTCCCCTGCTGCTGCTAATACCCCAATTTCTTCTGCTGTCGTCCTGTCAGTCATTATTCAGTGTGAATTGTCCCAAAACATGGCAGCTCTTCTGCACTCACATCTTGTGATAGAGCTGTGTGTGTGTGTGTGTGTGTGTGTNTGTGTGTGTGTGTGTGTGTGTGTGTGTGTGTGTGTCAGTATTTTTGAGTTCTATTTTTTATTTTCCTGTGGTCACGAGTGTCTGTGTCAGTGATCATTGTACCTAACTGTTTGTGATCGACACCCTCCTCTGTCTGAGAATGGTTTTCTGTTTTTCCATCAACTGCACTTCTTCTTCTGTCGATGTCAAGATACTCCATATCATTGTTCATACTGTATGTGATGTGATTGCTATCCCAGGCTGGTTGTATAATATTATATATTATCATTGTAGAGGCTTGTGTTGCACTGATGAAGAACGTGACTGCTCAGTTAGTTGGACACAACAGTAGAGTTACTATCATTCTTTTAAGTTGAGTCTTTTGAAGGCTGATAGCAATACTGGTGGACTGAAACTGGTGAAATTCTATATTTTTTATATTGTCTACAATTCAAACACCCCACACTGTTGCACTGGATTCTCTCATAACCTCACAAACCAGCACACACACCTCAGTGTGTTTGGACGCAATCTCACACCCACCTCCTAGCTGCACCAAATGTGTGTTCACCTGACCCTAATCACTCTCTCCAACAAATGCATCACTAAGTAAAAACATAGTGACATTACTGATCACAAATCCCATCGCTCTCAAACTCTAAAGCAGCTTTATGGCACGGTGATGTTCAGCAGATCCTGTAGGTCTGACCGCTGAAAGACAGAATTTAGGATTTTAATTTGAAATGTTTTCAGTTCAGAGTCAAATAAGTATAAACTCCAGTGATTAACGATGGGTGGAAGGTCTCACCTGTAGGTTGATAAGCAGGTATATAAAATAGTCCCACACAGTAGTATGAGTGGGACATCTCAGTATGGGATATGCCCCACTTTGCTCCTGCAAAGTGAAAAGCCCCTATAAAAAACAGGTTATTTCAGTGAGATGTAGGGGTCAATATTGTAGAAATGGCCCATAGAGTTAGCTGGTTATATGTGAGGAGGCATACCCTGCAGTGAAAACACTGAACAGATGCTGTGAAAGAGAACTCAACCAAACACTACACAGCCCTTTAACACCATCGTAGCAAAAGATTGTTCAGTATTTTTTATCTCCTGTCAACTTTATTTCCCCACTTTCCATAATCTTGCATCTTGACTGTTCGTGTGTTCTCCCTTGTCAGTTTTTTGAAGCTTACTTTGCTCCCTCTGTGCTTTTGTCTGTAACTTGTTTCTGTCCCTTTCACAGTTCCTTCTCTCCCTCTGTTTGTTTCAATGTCGCTCCCTTTATGTGTTTGTAGGAGTTATGTCTGCACCCCAGTCCATCACTTCCTGAGGTAAAAACAGCCGCCTGCTAGCGAGGTGGTGGATGATGATGATGATGATGATAACATGCGTAAACACATACATACATGATCATGTTCTCATTATTCACATTTCCTTGTAGGCAAGACCACATAAATCAAACAGATCTGCCCTGCACTGTTGTCATGCACACCATGTTCTGTTCATTTAGTGACTCCAGTCAAATGTTGTCCATCCACTTCTTAGCTGAAGTTCTTGAGAGAGTGCCGTGCTGTGCGCTACGTGCACTATGTAGAACGTGAGAGTGAAGAATCTGCAGGACCCACTAAAGAAAACATTTTGACAAAATGCCACATTCAAAATTGCACTACATGTACCCCTCCATTGTAAAATCATGCTTACTGTTTTATTTCACACAATATTAAAAGTGCATGAATTCAGCCATTCCACACCTCTTTCACACACACATGGACAGAAAGCAGTCACATGTCAAAGCATGGTAATGTGGCCATGCTTGTTCAGGAACATCCATGGATGAGCGCTCTCCACAGTAGACTGTGATAAATGACGCCAGTGGTCTGCTGTGTTGAAAGCTCCATTGCACCTTGGTCATATTGTAAATCATTACAGCACCTAGGGACTGTGTGTGTCATGATGAGATGTAAAGTGAAACATACTGCTGGTTTTATGTACCGTGAAGTCATGAAGTATAAAGTACATGCTCAGTGTGTCACATCTCACAGGAAACCATGCCTGTATCCATTGGGAATTCATATATCCTATCTCTGGCACTAACATGTGAAAATAGTTGGCATAGAGATTTATATTGTTATATCATTGTTGCAGTGGTTCTTATTTGTGTGGTTTCTCTGCCCCTCCCCCAGTAAGGAGCAGAGGTCAGTGAAGACAATGTCGGTGTGGGAGCAGAGGGCCAATCAGCTGATGAGGCAGAACCAGGCGAGCTGCGAGGCCCTGTACAGTGAGCTGGAGCCAGAGGAGCGTCTCCAGCTGTCCACAGCACTACACATCCGGCCCGACATGAAGACCCACCACGACCGGCCGCTGCTTGTTGAGCCCAATGATGGGCCTTTGCTGGGCGGCCACCAGCACCACCATCATAAGAGGCTAGAAGAGGCTGAGACTGCAGACCCTACTTTGCCTCACCAGAATCGCCGTCATCACCGACACAGAGACAGGGACGGGATCAGAACGAAAGAGGAGACCAATGATAATGGTGACACTGGTGGGAGGCACCACGTCCATCACAGTCGCTCCAAAGACCACAATGGCAAAGACGGAAAGACCGAGAGATCCCGCAGCCGAGAGGGAGGCAGAAAGCATCACCATCAGAGTTCGGTTGAGGACAGCGGAGGTGGAGGAGTCACGAGCGAGAGAGAGCATCGCCATCATCATTCACATCGGCAGGCCCGAGGGGGCAATGGGACAGTGAGCAGTGGTGGGAGGGGAGAGAGAAGATCCCGGCACAAAGATGGGCGTTCTTCAAACAGGGATGGGGATAGGAATTCCAGAGGAGAGAGTGATGGTAACGGAGAGAGAAGGAGACATCGAACTCATGGATCTAGGGGCCAATCAACAGCCGAGGGAGAGGATTCCAACGAGAAAGAGAAGACCCATGGTCACAGGTAAAAATGATCTAAAAAATAAAACCACTGCACAGAATTTGTGTGGACAACATGTGCTTCTGTTCCCAAGGCGGGGGGAGAGACCACTGTGTCAAGTACTGTAGGCATAATGCTACATCAGAAGTTGCGTTCCCATAAACTGCCCCACTCATTTTCAAGACACATCCTAACTCGCTTTCCATTCCAAAGACATTGGCTGCACGGTTAATCGAAGCTTTGCAAACATTTAGCAATACCTGTGGCAATATTATCTGGGTTGCGATAACGATTCACTGTTGCAGATTTGGACCGATTTATTTAGTTTTTCACTCAGAATTTAGAAAAGGAATGAACTGTGGACAGCAAGGCAGGAATGGAAGTCTCCCAACTGCTAATTAAAGTTGAGATATTCTCTCCAGAGTGCATCGCCCTATACAATGTTGGCCCCACGTGTATACAGGAAAAATGATGATTGAGATGGCATTTGATGGTTGTTGAGTCAGGCGGGCACTTAATTTGACATATGAGGAAATGTGTCCTTTACCCACCACAACTGCTGTAGGTTTCCTATACATTTAATGAGGCAAAGTAAAAAAAGTCCTTTTCAAATTACTCATTGACTAAAAATGAGTATCCCCACTCTACACACCTCTACTCAGCTTATAAAGACAGGACTTCAGATAGGGACCTATAAAAATATGTTGATGGTTTATTCTTCTTCTGAATGAGAGTAATTGCAGAGTGAGAAGATGTAACCCATGCGCAAGTTAACAAGTTTAGGAGTAAAGTTCAGCTGGACATCAAGACAAGGAGAGAATGCACACAAGATTAACCCCACAGCATGGATCATTGTTGTGAGTAACAAGGGAAAACAGATGCCATGTTCAGGTCCGTATACCTACCTACCAAGTGTTATGGATCCTATATGAAAGTTTTGACGGACAACCAGGGGCCACCGATGCAGCGATTTCTCCTGGTACTGCCGATGGGTAGTACGACTGTGACAGACACGAGTGTGAGAGAGCGTGACAGTGGAACTAGAAGCGCTGGACACAGCTCTCTAGGGAAGCAATAGGGCAAAACACAATATCTGAGTTATGATGAGAAGTGTAAAAAAAATTGGATCGGTATAAAATTGTGACATGACAATGGTTTGGGTACTTAATAAAAACACAGTGTAGGCCTATTAGTCTGTTTTACTCTGTTTTAATTTGTTCACAGCAGTTTTTATGTTTTCTTTTAATGGTTGATGGTCAGTAAATAAGCATCGGCTATTAGTGAGAAAAACAATTCACAATGTGCATCCCTAATCAAGGACAATAATGTGTGGTATATTTATACTTAAGCTGAGAAAGATTGCACAGACTATCCTCTCACATTTTCGATCTGGATTTGTTCTTAGCTGTCTTCACTCCTTTTTCAAGGTTAAGGTTCTCTCTTGCCTTTTCTTTCTATTTGCAGGAGGCATGGTAAATTATAAATCCCCTCAGAGAGGCCTTTAGTGTTTCCCAGGCTATCCCCTGGGATGTGGTTAAAGGAACGTGTATTTCCTAGAATAATATAACCTTTTCTTGTGATAATAGTTTCAACTTTTTATACAGTATTAAACTTGGATTCAACCTCCATCTTCATGATTTACCAGTATCGCTACTTGGCTGCATAAGAAGAATCTCCCCTGCATGATCTCATGCTAATGGATCACCTCATTGAGGAAGATTCAAACCAATGAATGAACTCACTTGAGACACCTAAATATCACTGCAGTTTTATTGTTCTTGATTCATCACATGCATTCAAGAGGAAACTGAGTTAAACAAAGTAATGTGCATATAATTTACAAGTAAGAATACAACACTTGATTGTTTTCTTGAATTCATCTGGGACACAAGGAATCAATTTAGCTTTTAGTCTCAAACAAGAGGACCCTAATATACATATCATATAAAATTCAGCTTTCTGGAGCCTGAACCAATACAATAATATTCCATGCAAAAATAACATCTCATTAATAATGAGTGTATACTGTTAAAAGGAACATGATGGTCTTTAGACATAGAACATGACCACAATCAAGAGAAGGATTCATGGATACTTCAGAAGAACATTAGTTTCAGAAAATCTACTCTCATAAAAAAACATTATGGCACAGAGAGTAGTAAGTGTAATCCCTGTTAGTGGGATTCAGTAGTGTCCTATCTCAAAACAAGCCTAAGTCTTTACAAACGTACAGGATGTTGACAGCCCTGTATTTTTCAATCGTTGGTTGACCATTTTTAATTTCTACTATTTTATATTCTAATAAAGGCATGCTAAAGAAGGCAGGGGGCTTTATATGTTAGTACGTACAGTCCCCCAAACTGCTGTGGTGGCCCCTCACAGGAGCACCTGAACAACGACAACATTATGTGTTGTTTTGTTGATTGTGCACTAAAAAACAGATTTGGTACATTAGTTACAAGTAATCCAACAAACTAATTCAAGTTGATGGTTCAACAATAGGGCAGCAACTCACGATTATTTTGTAATCAATTAATCTGTCGATTATTGTTTCGATCAATCAATTAAAAGACAAAAGCTACATTCCACCCTTATCAGCTGTTTATTTGAAAAATAACTACATCTTGCACAATAATGTTTCTAAATGTATTACAGACATCTGCACGTTATGATGATAAATCCAGATTCAGATACCCACAATTTAATTCTGACTTCAAGTTCAGGTTGTCTTAAATTCCCCTAAATTCAAGATACTTAAATTAAGTTTGAACTTGTCAGTATGTAAAAAGTTTGCTTCTGCATTCACCGTCAAAACTGTTTTCCGTCATTAATGGGAGCTACTACTTGAAATTATACTGTGATATCCAAGATGTTATCTCCGTTCTAGGGATAGGTTTGGGGACTCAGAGGGGGAGTCCTTAGCCATCTCACCCCAGCAGGGCTCTGGAGGGGGCAACTGGCCTCCTGACCGACCAGAGGACTCTGACAACCAGCGGAATGTGAGAAGAACGGGCCAAACGTCCGTCCACATTCCTCCTGTGATGGTCACCTGTCCACCTGGAGAGACCACCCTCATACAAAGTCAGTATCAAGTCGCACACATATTATGACTTAGATTCCCTCCCTCTCAGCCAATGTGTTGAAGGTGTCTGGTCGTAGTGACAGTTAAAACAAGTACAAGTGTGTTGAGAAGATGTGGAGAAAGGGATCCTATTCATTCTACAATTGTCTTTTGAGGACAATACAATAGATGTGATGGATGTTGGGGGCTGCTATTCATTGCCACTCTGACATCTCTGAAGTATATTGATCGAATTGAACACTCTTGTCTTCCCAGTGAACAGTATTGACTGTGAGACAATGCCCATGAATGAGAAGACCCTGGAGGATCTAGGTCAAAGTGGACCCAAACCCATCCTGCCCTACAGTTCCATGTTCATGTTTGGACAGACCAATCCGTGAGTCTCAACCTTTTTCACCTTTTTTATTTTTTATTTCATTTAACCGGGAAAGTCCCATTGAGATTAAGAATCTCTTTCAAGGGAGACCTGGTCAAGTCAGGCAGCAGCACAGATAAAAAACATATAGCACAGTTAGAAACATGTGTTATACACAACAAGGTAAGTTAAAAACAGCAGCAACATCTTATAGAATCTGCCTCCAGTTCTGGTCGGGACAGGTATTAGTATCATTATCTGAACTGAAAACTGAAAAGGTCAGACTTGTGCATCCTTATTGTAGTTTCTCAGGTTAAATTGGCAGCTACAATTGTAAACTACATTTTAAATTTGTATTTGTATGAAAAAGTAAAGTTGTGGTCAACTTGGTGTCATTATAAGCCTTTAGACAATTTTCCCTGATTCCCTGGTGACAGTGTTGCTCTATCTTAATCCTTAGACTTATATTATGTGAATGTTTTAGAAAATAAGTAATGAGGAGATAATCACTGCTTCCATAATGTAATCTTTGATATATCTGTGTCTCACGGTGTATCTGTCCCTGCCTTTCCTTTCTCAGGGTGAGGCGGTTGTGTCACTACATTGTGACTCTGCGTTATTTTGAGATGTCAATCCTCGTTGTCATTACTATGAGCAGTATCGCTTTGGCAGCAGAGGACCCTGTCTGGACAAATGCCCCTCGCAACAATGTAAGAATTACAATGCTCATGTAAATACCCACAAAAATGCACAAAAATGCATGTAATGCACTTTACATCCATGCCAACAAGTGATAAGAAGTGTTTCTATTTTTATAATAACTTGCCTTGTGGAGTCTGGCATGCAATGCTGAGTTTCCACCAATTGTCCCAGGAACTTTTTTCAAGGAACTAAAAGCTTCCTGCGGCTGCTGCATTTCCACTGTGGTCTGAAGAACAGGGGAGATCAAGCAAATTATCCTGCTGTCTTATGAACAATTGACAACTACAAAAAGCTGTTCCTTTTACAGTCCACTGGGTAACACTCCAACCCCCCAAATGTAAAGTACTACCCTCTGTGCAGGGACTTTTTATGTGTTTAAAATATGTATCTAGACATCAATCAAATCTACTAGCCTGCAGTCTTATGATCTTTAGCTGGAAATCTCCCACTCCATCTCACTCACGCTGGATTTGCGATGTTCTCAAACTACAAAAAATTAGATGCACAGTTGAGGGCTTTTTGAAAAGATTCAACAAACCTTGGAACCGTCTTTCTAGATTACTATGCAAGCAAGAGGTGTAGGATATTGGATTAATGTACAGCAAGGGTACAACAGTACTCCTTTGTTACCCTTCTGTCTGTTGCCTTTTATTTTTTATTTCATTTATTTAACTCACATTTTGTGTCATTTTGCTGAAATCTCAATAAAAACAATTTGAAATATAAAATAAAATATTTCCCCATAACTTAAATTGAACCCTGGTCCGGGGTCCCTACAGTGGAAACAAATTCTTGCAAAGGTTCCTAGTTCCTGGGGAAAGTTCCTGCTGTTGAAATGCTGCTTGAGTTAAAATATTGAATGAGGTAATGAGAATATCAATATCTTTCCCTAGTAAATAATTGATTCTGGTGATCAATACTATCAAATTAAATATGTCACACTGGATGCTTATGCATGTATACATATTCAGTACCAATTTGCTGCGTTTTTTTGCAGGTGCTTAAATATCTGGACTACGTCTTCACTGGTGTTTTCACTTTTGAAATGGTGATCAAGGTAAGCAGAATTCAAATGCACAATTTAAAGTGTCAGTGTTTCTTTGACTTTCACTGCACTTCCAGAGTGGAACTATACATGAACCCAGTGTTTGACTATTGAATTCGGAGAGGACATTGTTTCTTTGTTTGCTGTCTATCCACTGATTAATCAACTAAATTGAATTGCTAGTTCAAAGTAAAACATTTGTAAATGGTCTTGTAATCGTTTTTTGAACAGGTTGGTATTTAACCTGCTGGGTATTGCCTCCTGCAGCACCCTTATCAGTGCCTTTAATTTAAAAGGAAAAAAGAAAAACAGCCAGCTGTGTTAAACCTAAGAGGTCATCAGCAGGGCATCACCAGTTATTGATGATTCATTACTTCAGAGGTGCAGAAGGAAACATGAACAAATATAACCTTCTGTCATATTTGCTAAAACTCTAACTATGATGTAACAATAATACATAAGGCAGATGATATTCAAAAGCATGTATGTCCTCTGGCTTCATCTAATGCTTATCATGCCACTTGTAAGAATCCAACGCTCCTGCTTCTATACCAGCAATCAGAGCCAGGAGGCGTGTCGGACTGAGTGTCAGACACAGTACATCTCCTGGTGGCAGAGCAGCAGCAAACATGTCTCCATGCTTCCTCTTCAGCCTAAAAGTAAACTGAGAATAAAAAGACATAACAGTGGTGTATTTGGCTCAGATGGTGGACCTGGGCCTGCTGCTCCATCCTGGATCCTACTTCAGAGACCTGTGGAACATTCTGGACTTCATAGTGGTCAGTGGGGCGCTGGTGGCTTTTGCATATTCGTAAGTTCAAAACCTCCTACCTTTTTGTCATTAGATAAACTGCTCTCTGAGTTGTATATTCCTCAGATTTGGTTCATACATCCGTTGTGCTATGTGTAATGGACAGTATATACCAACCTTCAATGAGAATCGACTTATTGTTTGGACTGTAGGGGGCTGAAACCTCCCTTGCAACTGTTGGCCAGATGTTCAATAGAAGATAAACTGTACATTTAACCTGGATGCCAAACTTCAAGTGGATCCAGTAGTTATTGAGCACCAGCTTTACACAGGGCTTCTATTTATAGACTTCTCCCAGGTTGGATGGCTGAACATAAAGTATTATTAAGCTGTCTTTATCTGTTAGAGAGCTCTGTTTGTGTTTATAGAGCTAGAATTGTAAAATATAACCATTTATATGGTGTGTTTAGGTATAAGCCTTTTATGTGACGGCTCTGTATTATATTTGTGTGTGTGTGTGTGTTAGAGAGAGAGAGAAAGAGAGAGTTTGGGGGTTTGAGCAGTGTGTTTATTGACATGATCCTCTCCCTGTTTCTGTGCTGGGATCGTTTGAAGGAGCTTCATGGGGTAATGCCTCCTCTATCTCTCTCATCTTGCTTGACTGTGTCATTATTTGTGTATGTATGTGTAAGATGAAACATACATGGCTTACACTGCAAAAACAAGTAATTTCCTCACATATTCAGTCTTAAGTCTTTTAATTTATTCAGGTCTTATTCAGGACACAGCGTGTCACAGGATGAGGAGTGCAACTGTATTTTCTAGTGATAATCATTTCTTTGTATAATCCAATCCAATTTAAAGAAAACATCAACCTTATCCCTTGTTTAGTGATTTCCAGTAGTTAGTGTGACCATTCTTACGGAACCTCCTCTATCAATTGTATGGAATTCTATTTGTGTCTGATAGGGCAACTTGACAATCATGAGTACAAAAAGGAAAATTTGCAAACTGAATATTGTTCATGACTACAGCCCTGTGCTACCCTTAAAGGATAAGCGGTAAAGATAATGGACTGATGGATGGATATTGTTCACACATAAGTTAAAGTTGGAAGAGAAGATAGAATCAAAGAAGAATTGAATCAGACAGATGTAATTGTAATTACTCTGCATCATTTGGAACACATGGCCACTGCATTGAATTCTTGTCTAAGGGCCACTGTCAGTGGACAAGCACCTCATCCTCAGAGTTAGCTCAGAATGACAAAATGCAGCACTATCAGCTGTTAAGGTGCATATATCCTTGAAAAGACTGTAAGGCATGCAGTATATGAAGTGAAATTGCTTGTGAGGATGGGTGTTATTTGCAGTGTTCACTGATGTGTCTGGGGCACATTCCATCTCGCCGTCCATCGTCCAAGACCTTCTCACACTTGACCCTCATGTGCTTGGCTAAAGGTCCTTCCTCCATGCCCTCCTCTGTTATAGAGGGGCATGTCACCTGCGAGTTCATCATCCTTATCTTCCTCAAGCCTCCGATGGGAGGGACTTTCATAAGCACTTTGCCTCGACAGAGCTCTGCTTGGAATGGAATGATACCATCAATTTCACATCCTCTATTATTAATTCAGCAGAGGCTAGCTAATGTAACAAGCAAGCTGCTGTCGGAGGGCATGAGAACATCTCAGGGAACATCAGTCATATGATCTTAGCATGCATATATGAAAGACTGTATGACATGTATGCTGTTCGCTATAGGTTTTTAATGAATGCCCAAGATCATGTTACCACATCATTTCCATTTACATGCAGTGTATTCTACATTAGCCTGTATCTGGCACGGCATCATTCTGCTGATGGAGCAATACACCAGTAGTATTGTGGTACAGCTACAGCATTATTTTTATATTGTTGTTCTAAACCTGTGCTGAACAGCATTTGTGAATAATTTTTAATAAGCACGATTTCAAGATTTATACATGTTTTAGTTTTTAGTATTAAATAAATAGGACATTATGAAATTATACAAACCCATCTTTAGTGGTAACCCCTATGGAAACTTACCGCAGTGATTAGTTAGCACATGATTAAATAACTACATTAATGTGTGGGGTTGCAGGTAAAAAAACACCTATTTCCGTTTAAGACTGGTACATCCACAGTATGTATATTTTCAGCTTAAAAGTCGACAGTTGTTGGCTGGAAATAATGAGGCTTCTACTGTGTAGCTCTGCCTGAAATAAAAAAAAAGCGTTAATAGTGATTAGAAAAGCAAATGTAGTTATTTTTAAATATTTTTTCTGTATTTACTCATGATTTTATTATTTCATAATGTCTAATTTATTTATTTTGGTTATTTCTTGAACTTTTCCTCATCCTCAAATACCAGTATAATCAGCAGGGCAACTGTAATCCAAACAAATTATTTGCAAAAGCTCTTTGGCTCCAGGTCCCGTCCATATCATCAGTTACAGAGAAAAAGTCTTTGTTTGATTGACAGCTGTCATTCACTCACTGTGCATGTCCCTGGAGCTGTCTATCGTGCATTTGATTTACTGCCTGTGGCAAGAACAGCAAACCATAGCAATTTGTCATCTCACCTACTGGTGCCTCTCAGCTGTTCAGCTCAGTTGTCAGCTTTTTGCGGCATTTCATGTTTGATGCTGCAAAGTACAAAATTGTATTTTAATGTCAGCTTCAGATGCTAGTGATGCAAGCTAGGGCTTGGATATTTTTCTATTTGTTTTATTAGTAGTTGTTTTTTATTCACTGAAGACATTTTATGGCATTTTGTTCAGTGTTTTGGTTGATACTCACAAGTTGTAGCAGAGAGCAATTACAGAAGAAGTGCCTGTTTTAAATACCAACAGTCATGATTTGTGTTTACTTCAGGGATAAGTTACCTGCTAAAATAACAGGCACATAAAACATCCAATCACACCTTATTACTTCTCCTCTTATGGCTTATATACTATAGTGGAACCCCTTAATGGAGTCTATTCTTTACTGGGATTTACTCACACCGTTGTCTGCTACCAACCAAAATATATACAACTTTACATGTTTTCATTAATGAAAACTATTGTGTTGTCATCTGATGCAAACATATGCTTTATTTTGTTTGTATGTGTGAAGCATCCATAAATGTGCTGTACCTTGTTTTACCACTGTTTTCCCCCAAGTAGATCGCAACAAGGTGTGACCAGGTGGGGAACCCTCCTATGCCGCCCCAACCCCATTCCCTCACTCTTTACCCATACCTTACCCTAACCCTTCCCCCCCTTCTAACTGCCATTCTTCTTATGCTTAGATCAACTTCATGTACAAAATATTAAACCCATAAGCCGGTAAATCAAATGCTTTTTTAAAACAACAGTTACCTCTGTCTGACAGTTTTCAACTGAAACCTGCCTCAGCCGAAGATTACCACCAATGGTTTGACTGATTTCATTCCAAAATGCTATTTTGCCTCGTTGGCTTTAAAAATCTCTCTATATCTTTTTTCTTACTTCAAGAGAGCTCTTCAAATGAGCTAGATAATTATTTGAATTATGCTAATAACAGCCAGTTTCAGTGCCAGTTAAAAGTGTGGTTTTAAATACTGTTGTACAAACAAATGATCAATATTGCATCTTGGAATGAAATGTGTCGTTGAGAGGTCAGTGTGTCTGAGAAAGTATTTTCATTTTGACCAATCTATCTTTGTATTGAGTATGGGACCATCCATCAGTATTCATTGTGCTGATGTCACACTTGGAAATCTTTTGCCTGTTGCCTCAAATACAAGTTCAGCAATATCTAGTCATATGTGTGAGAACTTGGCTACTTCCTTTTAACATATAGTGAGAATATGGCCATTTTTACAGTAGAATATGGGAGTAGGAAAATATGACATCCCAACTTGTACAATCCTCGAGTCACCGGACCACAAAGGTTACTTTGGTATTTAATCTCCCCTGTAGGGTATAATAATACAAATCAACCAAAAAACCTGAGGAGCAGAAAATATTAAGTCATAGAGATGTGTTTACATAAATAATAAAAAGGACACAACCTGAAATGATTAAGGAAAAACACTTTCAAAGATAGAGTGAGATCTTTCAATCTTTCTCTCTCTCCATACTGACCAAGAAAGGACCCTTTCCTACTAAATTCCAATGAAAGAGATTGGGATCAGAAACAACTCTTTGTTCTGTGTAAAATCTACTTGATTTACATCTGCATTTGCTCTATCTCTGTCTCTAAAATGTGCTTAGTTTTCTTGCAGAGCACATATTTACTTGTTGCTCTATGACAGTAAAGCTTCATAACTACAGCTGTCGACTGAGAAACTTGTAACTTTGTCAACACCCACACTCAAGTAATGTATTAAGAAATACTTGACAAATCTGAACTTGTTATTCTTTAGTATTGCAGCCCATAGTTTATGGGATGAAGTCAGCCAGAGAGAGACAAACTCTCGCGTAGAGTAGAAGTATTAATAGAGCAGTATTGAAATACTTGGTAGAGGGATTTTGTTTTCAGGGCACAGCTCCCTGTCCTCATTCCAGGGAAATTATGAGTAGTTTTGGCTTCAGCCACATCTGAGCCAGATGTCCTCATTATTATTTGGACCTTCACATCCCTCTAGGTGTCACATTTAGCCCCTGTAACAAGTCCAAATGCTTTCTCTCTTATTTCTCCACTATTTCTTGTTCTTGAGGGGTGTTCTTATGAATAGAAATGAAATAGCTTCATCCCGTAGTGGAAGTGTCTGATCAAAAGACACTCTGGTCCTATTTCACAGTAAATGCATGCCAGACTAATGTGCATCAGAGCATGTAAGTTGTTGCATGAGGTTGCGACTGGGGTACAGGACTCCATGAGGCCACAGAGGAAGACAGAAACTATGCTGTTCGTCACCCTACAGCTAACCGCAGTGGCGCTCAGAGTCAATGCTCCTTAAGGGACTTCTTGATAACTTGTTGCTACATTTGGAACTGTAAACTATAACTGATTTCAGAAAATAGGACCTAAAAACAAAAGCCACAATTCCTCTTGATATGTGGTTCACTTATTGATCAGTGTGTTCTGGTTCCTTTTCCCAGGTAAGCTGAGTAGTATAATATGTCAATGATTGGAGCATACCCGTCACTCCTTTTTTTCTACAAAAATGGAATTCACCATCCTGGTTTGCCAGTCCAACATTGGAAAGGCATTTCTGGAAAGACAGCCTGACAATGTCCAGCGCCATAAGCACCTTAGGGAAAATCTCCTTCATGCCCAGCACTTTGCAGCTGCAGAGAATCTTAACTATCTCAATGACCACTGCCAGGTACATGTAAGGCTTTCAGGATTCTTCGAGGAGTTCCTCGAGGGGCTCATTCTACTGCTGGACAGTATCTCCAGTCAGGATCAGCAGTTCCACTTCCACTCCATACTGGAGGATTAAAGCTGAGTGTGAAGCAGTCGGTTTGAGACAGCTTCTCCAAGTTTGTCAGACTGCTCTGTGTTGGGACTGTGCTGATACCCCAAGTGAGGGAGTTCAAGTATCTTTGAAAATTCAATGAAAATGTATTCTTTCAACTTCTAAAACCAATAAGCACTTTACACAGTGACTGATTAGGTGTGTGTGTGGATGAGAAGTAGACAGGGTTTGAACTTATCGCTCT